TCATTGACAGTTTGATAAAATTTGATTACGGTATAATTAAGGTCCTATTAGGTTACCTAACCTAACCTTAGAAATAGCGTTAGAATAAGCACGTCAAGGGATTCACACACTCTCACAAAATTAAAGCCCAACCTAACTGTATTGCTGGGCTGTTAGTGTGAGAGAGTGTGTATACGGGTCTTGCGGACACATTTTAGATTATTGTTCCAAATTTTCTCTTGATTAAATTCAAAGAACAAAAGTACTATACTCCGTATAACCAATAAGTATTAAAGTTACTGCAGTAAATTAAATGTTGTTTTGACCTCATAAAGCAAGATATTAGCAATGCTTGAACAAGCAAAACTATCTTACTAATCATGTATAAGAATAGACGGAATGGCACTCAAAGGGTGTAGATCTATGACTATAAGAAATAAACTAAGCATGCTACCCTGTAAACATCACTGAACAACAAAGCAAAAGAAGTTTTGACATATAATTTGTGCTACCCTGTTAAATTCACTGGATTGACAAAGCAAAAGAAGTTTTGACATATGATTTGTGCTACCCTGTAAAAATCTTTAAACAACAAAGCAAAAGAAGTTTTGACATATAATTTGTGCTACCCTGTAAAAATCACTGAATTGACAAAGCAAAAGAAGTTTTTACATATGATTTGTGCTACCCTGTAAAAATCACTGAATTGACAAAGCAAAAGAAGTTTTGATATATGATTTGCGCTACCCTGCAAAAATCACTGAACAACAAAGCAAAAGAAGTTTTACAGATAACTTATATCAGATACATTAATTATATCAGATACAAAACATATGTTAATTACTACGTTGAAAGGTTAAACCAAAGTTTTTAATATAAAATTGACGCCTCTATTGTTTTTTTCTAACACAAAAAGTAAAAAAAAATGTGTGTCATGTTAAATATAAAACAGATTTAATCGTACATTGTGATTTGGTCTAATATGAGTAAACCTTCTTTATTTTTAGAGAAAAATTTTGAAATAACTTTTTAAAGTTTTTTGACACACAATATAGAAAAAAAATATATGTTTTACAACAGTATACAAAACTTGTTTAAGCAAATGAAAAAAATGAATCTGAAAGTACAAGAAATACATCAAATAACACTTGTTAGGAATTTGTATCATTTGAAGTATGTTTTGTACTTTCAGGTAATTTAACAACAATCACAAAGTTATTTATTAATATACATAAACTAAAAGTGGGGTCGTATAGTTGCATATAGTGGCAGAATATTTCAGTTCTGGCGGGGAGGCTGCAATTTTAGGTGGTTATAGTATACAAGTTTCTGAACCTAAAACCGCCCAGACCCCAATTTTTAAGGACCTCGGTCGTCCGTAATGACGTCATCAAGATGGCGGCCGTAAGAGGATGCTGGGTCGCCATGAATTGGCTATAACGACCGAATGCCTGAACCGATTTTTATGAAATTTGGCACACAAGTGCTTCAATACATTATCTCGGCCTAGGCTGTCAATGGTCGAATTTGATAGTCGTTTCAAAATGGCGGCCGTTAAAAGCAAAAATTTAAAAAAATCTTTCAGTGTTTTGTGTTCTCAGCTACCTCCAGAGATCTGCAGCAACCTATTCACTTTCCTTGCAATCAAAGGTTGCACTACCGTCTCTGCATTTCATGGAATAGGCAAAATACTCCCACCACAGCAATCCTGCAGATTAAGTTAGTTTCCAATTCCCTGATTTGATTTTCAATTAAATCAATTTAAATAACATTAGGTTTCATGAGTACCTATGTTTGCTGCTACAGGGAGAATAATAAAGTAAGCAAATTGATATATTAATAGTTTAGTTTACAATAAATAAATTGGCCAAGTTTCATTAAGATATAATCATAAACAAGCAAACTACAACAGTTTATGTACTTTCCGTACTAATAACATGAGAATTTTAAATTTACAATGTTTTAAATTTTCTCCGTAACCAATTACCTTAAAAAAACATTTAAATTCAATAAATTATTTGGTTAAATAAGATCTTCAAAATAGTTTAGAGAAAAATTAGGGAATTTCGTGTTTTGAGAGTCAAACATGAGGGTCAAATATAAGAAATCCCAATGTTTACCCCTTAAATCACCCCAAAAACCCCGTTGCCGTTGCGTGGTCCGACAACGCTGGTTCGCGAACTTGTTCGAAGAAACGTAGGTTTAAAAGTTTTTTACCAAATTTCATTAAGATCGTATAATTTTACTAACGGACACATACATATACAGTGTGTTTAAAAAAGGTAGGGACAAAATTTACGAATTGATTCATTGGATCAAAATAAGAAGAAAATAAGGAATAACATTTATTTTACACAATCGCTTCTTTTACAAAATTTAATTTAAAATTACCATGTTATTCTTATGGAGAATAAGTAAACTGTTGTATTTTGCTTTTTTAAGAACATATTTTGATCAAATTTGGAAAATGTATTCATTTCATACTAAACTATTACATTTCATAAAACAAAAACACGTTTTACCCTCCCTGTTGCAGCAAGCCTAAGTACTCGTTAAACAAATGCTACTTAAATGGGGAATTAATGTGGTATTTTCAATGAGATATTTTAGAGTAAATTCAATCAAGCAAATGGAAATTCGCTCAGTCTGCAGATTCGCTGCGGCGTGGGTATTATAAAATAATTGGTTACGGAGAAAATTCAAAACATTGTAAATTTAAAATTCCCATGTTATTATTACGGAGAGTACATAAACTGTTGTAGTTTGCTTGTTTATAATTATATCTTAATGAAACTTGGCAAATTTATTTATTGTAAACTAAGCTATTAATATATCAATTTGCTTACTTTATTATTCTCCCTGTAGCAGCAAACATATGTACTCATGAAACCTAATGTTATTGAAATTGATTATATTGCAAATCAAATCAGGGAATTGGAAACTCACTTAATCTGAAGGATTGCTGTGGAGGGGTATTTTGCCTATTCCATGAAATGGTAGTGCAACCTTTGATTGCAAGGAAAGTGAAAAGGTTGCTGCAGATCTCTGGAGGTAGCTGAGAACACAAAACACTGAAAGATTTTTTTAAATTTTATATTTTAACGGCCGCCATTTTGAAACGACTTTATCAAATTCGACCGTTGACAACCTAGGCCGAGATAATGTATTCAAGCACTTGTGTGCCAAATTTCATAAAAAGCGGTTCAGGCATTCGGTCATTATAGCCAATTCATGGTGACCCAGCATCCTCTTAAGGCCGCCATCTTGGTGACGTCATTACGGACGACCGAGGTCCTTAAAAATTGGTGTCTGGGCGGTTTTAGGTTCAGCAACTTGTATACTATAACCACCTAAAATTGCAGCCTCCCCGCCAGAACTGAAATATTTTCCTGCTACCCAACCCGACTACAATTAAGCACTCAATATTGATACAATACTGATCAGCAGTTCCTAATGCAGGGTATCTCAGCCTACAGGTTGAAAAACTAAACTAAATTTCAGCCAATCAGTGCTAAATTTCCGTTTTTTTAGTTAGTTTAAGGGGGGGGGTGTTAAATGAACGACCTTTTGTACTGATTAGACAATACTTTTCAGTATGGTAATTGAACAGCATTACAGTCGAGCATGCAATATTTTGTGGCATAACTAAAAGCTGGTTACCTACGCCCAAAGTATGTTTGCTCTCACTAATTCTGCATTATGAATTTTAGTCTGCAGCAAGTTGTTAAACAAAAGACAGGTCGGGAAACCTTATTTAGCTGGGACCTTTTTTCTGTGACTTATGGGACCTTAAAATAAAAAAAAATGTTACTTTTCACTGACTTCTGTGACCTCATAGTAAAATTGGCAACTTCCTTGATTTCTGTGACCGGTAAGACACCCTGAAATGTTAACAGTAAGGCAGTACATGTTTCCGTGGGATGCCACTGTCAAATTTCAGCCCAACCGAAACATAAAACACTTCTTTGACTGTTACCATTTGGAACTTCTGATCAGTTTTGTAACACCCATATTAGTAAGCAACAAAGTGTTAATAAAGCTGTAAAACCACACATATCACAATCTTGGGTTGGGTAAATGCAGTATATGGACTAGAGGACTAAACTAGAGGAATGGAATAATCAGTTTTTTGTAGATGATACACTTAAATTTTCTAATTTGTTTGGACATTTTTATTATTTTCATAATTATAGTGAAGGGGTGAAAACAAAATTCGGGCATTTACTTTATTATAATACCAATTAAGTGTAGGCCTTTTGAAAAATGTTATTCAGTTAAATTATTTTTTAATAATTTCATAATTCTCATATCTGGTTAATTTCTAATCTGAATCTTCTGTAAATATACATTCACTAGAAATTTTTTTGGATAAATTGGCTCAAAAATCCTCAAAAATAAACTAATATAATGATAATAGTTTAAATTAAAGGAAACTCCTCGAATAATACCATTTTCACGCATATTTCCCGGTTTTTCACGGCGGTTAAAATTCACGCATAGTTCCCAATTTTCCTGGAATTCCCGGTCACTGACAACCCTGTGAATTCCTATGTTTTTATGTTTGCGATTTAGTGCGTCTAATTGGGTGTTTATCTGACTGTGTACACACTGATGTGCATGTTGTCTAGGTTTTAGAATTACGCTTTTACTGTGACAGCTACGTTCAACTCTGTTTACTGTGTTTCACTGTGATAAAGATGTTCAATAGTAAATGTGTGTGAATGGGTACAAGATTTTATAAATTTGAGAGGATTCATTAAATTCAAATTTAGTCATATCTTTTAAATTCATGAAAATACAGTGAAAATATTTGCTTGTAAAAAGGTCATACTATTGCATTTTTTATGGATTCTAAATAAAATTTAGTAAATGCACTTCAATACAGAACTTCAGATAAATTGGTAAAATTAGCAAATATGTTCCTGTAAACATTTATAGTAAATCAGTGTATCTAAGAATAGGAAGGTATAAGGAAAGGACTGTAAAAGATTACAAAGCCATGCTCAATTTAATATACTTACTTTTATCATCTCCGGGCATGACGAGTCTGACCTGCAATTCAGGTGGTAGTTCAAAACATACAGGGTTTAATTCCTCACCAACTTCTATAACCTTGTCCAGACTCTCTTTTACGATTGATCCTCTAGTTCGGGTTGAGGGTGAAAGGTTGGTATTTTCAGTGAGTTTTCTATTGGCCCTTTCCTTGGCTTTTCTCCCTCTTACATTGACTTCATTGGCATTGACTTCATTCGCATCATCTTTGCTGCAGCCGGGTTCGTCTATGGACCTCGTGGCCCTGGAAGGCCGTTCCTCACGGTTGCGGTTTCTCGCCTGTAAATAACCCCAAATGTCCGTATCATGCTATGTCGATAAGTAAAATGAAGATTCAGATAATTTTTTTTTAATTTGGTACTTTGGTATTATACAAACCACACCGATAAATCAAATCCAAATAAAATTTTTATTAGTTTAAATAACAAAATCTTTCTAACCTAACCTAAAACATAGTCCACCCTTAATATCTAGAACTCTAAATATCCTGATCAACTGCTGACCGTACCACATTCAGATGATTACAAATTTGGATAGTTGGATTTTTACCAAAATTCAAGGCTATAAATATTACAAGTAAAAATACAATCTTACGTTGACTTCATTCGCATCATCTTTGCTGCAGCTGGGTTCGTCTATGGACCTCGTGGCCCTGGAAGGTCGTTCCTCACGGTTGCGGTTTCTTGCCTGTAAATTACACCAATAGTTTGTATCATGCAATGTGGATAATTTAAGTAGAATGAAGATTAAGACATTTTTTTAATTTGGTACCTACTTTGGTATTATACCGACCACACCCATAAATCAAATCCAAATAAGATTTTTAAAGGTATTTGTATTTCACAAAAAATTATGTTTAGGAATGTAATTTGGACTGTTATCAATTTAAAAAAATTACTCAACAAAAGTAAGAAACCACTGATGCAGCATCTTTAAACGTGCTGCAACAAGTGATACAGCACATTTTAGTATCAGTGCTTAGGCAGCTATTTCACATTACACCTGAGAGGATAATTCTAAAATAACCACATGGCTACAATTTTTTTTTTCTTGCAGTTGATTTGAAACAAAAGAATTTAACTACACACTAGAAAACCATAATTGCATACCCCAACAATTTATAAAGGCCCACTCAATCCCATAATCATTAAAGGTTATATATATATATTTTGGAAGGTACGTTTTGTGGGTGAATATCCCCAAAACTACTGTGAAACAAAACATGTGGTTATTCCTTGAATTAAGAAATTAAAATTATTTTCGTTCTAAACACTCACTTTTTTCTCTTTCATGTTACAAGCATAGCATATCCACTGGCCTAAGGGTATATCTGTTTCATCAAGGATAGGTGGAGTACTGAAAAAGGCAAAAGAAATTAGTTTAAAGATTTTTGGCAGTCAAAAATTAGTTTCAAAAAAATCTAAACAAATATTTAGAAGCAGTAAAAAAGTTATAAATAATGTTGTCTTGCTGTTTCTTCTTCATGTTTTCTTGAGTTGTTGTAGGTAATATGTATGTACAATAAAGGTAAACCTAATGTAACTCAAGTTCTTGGAACTGGAATGACAATAAGTATAGATGATTCTAATTAATAAATAATACCTAGTAAAACAGGGAGGTGTTGAAAATCCAACAACTTTGGATGACTTAAAAATGCTAAACATTAGCTAAGGAAATTTATTTACAAAGCCTTATTCTTACTGGTTCATTATTAAGCTCTCAAATTTACCTATATAGGCTTCTTTAAAAAAAAACCATGATAATTGAATTAAAAAAAAAAACTATTTGATTTAATTTATTGTGTGTACAGCTCTATGTTGCAAGCCTGAATATTAGTAATTATGCAATCTGTGTTCTGAATTCAAATAGAGCTGAACTGCATAAAAAATGTCAGGTATCAGTTAATTAAACAAGCACAGTGGTGTTGTTCTACGTAATAATCCCCACAGTTCATTGTATGACTGTGTCTACATACTCAATGTGATATACAGTAGAACACTGCTAATCTGACCTCGGCTAGTACGACTCCTAGCTTAATCAGAATGTGCCATCGCCTATTGATGAAAATGTTATCGTGATAATATCATGACTATTTCCCATGGCCGTGTGATCATCACGGTCTCCCGTAATAACGGCAAAAATCTTGTTTACCTCCCACGATCACGGAAACAGGGGCCCTTCATCATCGTTTTACGCAATGTTTTTCATGGAAACATTTATCGTTATCCTCTACGTGGCATAATATTGAACGACTCCCACAGTTACAGGACCATTATTATCGTCTGCTGCTATCATGGGGAAATCCTAGACAAATCCCACAAAATCATCATCTTCTTCGGCGATCACAGCAAAATCCTGAACATCCCTATCAGTCATATGGACATCATAATCGTCTCCAGGAATGACAGAAAGTTAATCGTTGTTACTGGTCTATCTACAATCGGGTTTAAAGATTTTACTACAGATATTTACAAGAGGTTTTAAACATTTTCAAAAATCGTTTATTCAAATGTTGTTTCGTAAAATGTGGAAATGCCTATTTTGATTACAGCCAACATGTATGGTAGAGCTTAAAAACAAACAATTTTGTATACTGAAGTATAACTATTCACCTTAGTATTGAAAAGATTTACTTAACAGCATTGTTTACTTACTTAAGAGCATTGTTTTACTTAACAAGACGAGTAACGGACCAATGACGTTCAAGGACTGAGAGAAAAGAAGTAAAAGTGTAATGCTTCAAACTTCAACTTATCAGCTATTAAGACCAATTTAATTGTTAATGAGAGGTGCAATTAGTGTTTGGTACTTTACCATGAGTCGTTGCATCACTGTCAGTGGCAATAAGAGGATATAAACGAAAACATAACCTCTCTTAGAAGTTATGAGTAGTGATTGTTGGTAATTAAAAAACTGCCGTGGGTAAAGTAGTGTATGCAACCCGCCTAAATAGTCTTAACGACACTCGTAGAAGTATTTAAGGCACTCGCCAAGGCTCGTACCTTAATTTCTACTTGTTTTGTTAACCCTATCTTAACGTGATCGTTACGTAAACTACTATAAAGACTGTGGAGAAAATGTCAAAAAACTGTACATTTAAAATCCCTATGTTATTCCTTTGGAGAATAACTACACCGGTGTAGTTCGCTTGGATTATGGGTATATTTTGTTTGAATTCGGCAAATTCATCTACTTCATCCTATAGGCCTACTATTCACGTTTAATAAAAAGAACACTTTGAAGTTTCTGTATCATTCTTGTGGACAAAAACTATTGTAGGCTAATGTTTATTAATCTATACAATTTTAAAATATGCATCATTGATTAGTGATCAAAGTTTTTTGTGTCGAGGAAATCTATTTCAACAAACTAACATGCAAGAAGAAAAATGTGTGTTATTAGGTAGGTACAGTTATGTGCGTTATTATTTAATAAGATACATGTACAACAATAGGCAATTAATTATTGGTTTTATAGGTTTCTAGCTTACTGATAAGAACCAAGAATTGTTTTTTGTCTGGTTAAAAATTTTATCTTAAAACCACTTGAGAAAACTCAATATTATAAAGATTAAAAGTCTATATTAAGCTTATTTAACATTATTCAGAACCAACAAGGAGAATATTATATTAAATTATTTGGACCTAGGAATTTAAAATTCTGTTGTGAGGTTAGTCAGGCCTGTTTTTGACTATGTCAGCGCCCTAGGCACAACTAAGAGTAGCGCCCCTTTGCAAAATATATAACAGGGTGACCACCGACCGGGAAATCCGGGGATTATGCTTGAATTTTTTGAACCGGGAATTATGCGTGAATTTTGTATCTCTACCTGGAATTGTCAATTTACTGCGACCGCGCATGACAACAGTGATGTTTATGTGACCGCGGGAGACGATAATATGTCTATACACGGACGCGAGGGATGATCAGAACTTTTCCGCGATCCCATGAGACGATGATAATGTCCAAACGACCGCGGGATAAGATCATGATTTTACCGCGACCACGCAATACGATAATGAGATCTACAGAGCCGCGAAGGATGAACCGAATATTGCCGCGATCACGGAAAACGATGTTGATATCCACACAACTGCGGGAAACAGTCAGAATTTTGCCGGAGATGATAATGATCTCCACATACTGCGGGATTTCATTAACATTTTGCCGTAATCACGGGAGATGATTACGATGTCTTCACGACCACAGGCGGCGATGATATTTTCACGGCTGTGAGGGATGGGATTATCAGAATTTTACCATGGACCAATCACACATGACGATGATAATGTCCACACGACCCCAGAAATAGTCAGAATTTTGCCGCGATCGCAGGAGACGAACGATGATGATGTATAAAACCGTCTACATGACCGCGAGGGATTATCAGTTTACCGCAATTGTATAAAAGTACAGCCACCATTTTTTTTTATTTTCCAATTTTTTGGCGCCCCCCAAAAAAGCCAATTGCCTCACGCCTTGGCACGTGCCTATTCGGTAAATCGGCCCTGAGGATAGTAGGCTTACCTGAAAAAGAGTCAAATCTGGCATTAAGAAAGGTAGGAAGTGAGAGTGCTGTTCAAGCAAAAATGGTGGTTAGAAAATTATTGGAGCAGTGTTGCCATTATGTGTAGACTATCACGTAGACTAAAATGAAAATATATATGTGTGTCATGTAAGCCCGCTTACTAGGTTGCATAAATGTTTGAAAATAAGCAGAATAATTGTTTGTATAGGTCCAATAATAGTTATCAATTTAATTTTACCACAAAATTTATGTTGTTTGAATTATTATGACAATAAAATGGTTTTGACAAAAATGTTAAATTATCAAATTATCTGTTGAAAAACAAGAATATCAGTATAGTTTGACGAATTCCTAGAATATTTCTAAATATTTTGTTTCATACTCCACAACACCAAATGTGTTATCTACTTAAACTTAATGACAAAATAACAAAACCATGACTAATAACGTCTGACCCATTGAAACGATTGCTATGGCACAATGACCGTCGACCAATTCACAACCAGGTGTTGGCAGGCGTAAAAAATTGCCAAATATATCTAGAACAATGTGTTGCTGAGAAAAAACGATAATTTATATCATCTACTATGCATTTTAATTTGCAACTTCCTAGGCAGCATAGTTTTGGAATTTTATATGAAAATCACTGCATCCAATCTATCTTCCACTGAAGTCTGTAAAAGATCGATCAGAAGGAAGTAGAAGGGCAGCCGAATGGGAGAAGACCACCTGGAAGGCCCAGAAGAAGATGGTGGGACAGCGTGAGGATAGACATCGCAAGAGCAGGAGCAGAAGTAGATGAGGCATACAACCGGGAAAGATAGCGAGCAATTTTTGGCAAGATCAAAACCCTTCTAGGATGGCCATGGGAGTAAGAGTATGTAAGTAGTCTGTAAAAATGGCCTCCAAGGTCCATATGTTGACTATTTCAAGGTTTAAGTTGTCCCATTGTCAAATCTTTTGTCTTCAACTTCACTGTTGAACATTTGTTGATCCACTCATAAAACAATCCACACAAACATACAGTGCACAGTACATAAACAAATGATACATTAAAAAAATGTATAGCCGCCAAATACTACAAGATTCCAGACTGGACAGATGTTAATGCCACATGCAGATTAATGCAACTTGGTCATATTCATCTATGTGTCACAACAACAAAATCTTCAACAGTAAAGTGCAAAAACGGAAGAGGTAACTATGGGGCAATCTTAAACCTCAAAAACTACTTTTGGCAAGTTTTAGTTTTGGTCAAAGAACTACTTGGCCAAGAACTAGTTTTGGCAAAGATGAAGGATTAAAGTACCATCCACGATTGGATTAACCACACTGGGGATTAACAACAGGCGCAAAAACAATGGAAATCAAAATAAATATTGTGCAAGTTAAATGCTGTTGACTACTCCACCAACCACCCATGGGTATATGATTACAAACATACACACAGTACATAACATACAGTAGATAAGTTACATTTTCAAAATTCAGAAAATCTTTTAGAATTAGAATAATTTTGTGTGTTGTTTTTATATTTTTGTTACTAAGCCTATAAGCTCTCATATTGTATATGTTTTGTGAATAGAAGTGAATGAAACAAAGTTAAATGGCTTTTTAACTGCATTTAAAATTGTTTATCTTAACCCTCCGAGTGTCCATAGTTTAGGCCTTAATGTCCGCCTATTTTTGGCGCATTTGCAAGGTTTTATTAAAACGGATCTGAGAAGCTTAAAACAATGTTAATTCTACTGTTCTATATACCATTTGGTTTGGAAAATCATGGGCTTCAATATTATACCTAAAACATAAGGAACATTTGTTTCAAAAAAAAAATTTTTAGGTAAAAAAAAAGAATATTTTGGAAAATTTTCAAAAAAAAAATAAGTTTGCGCTCAATGAAATTGTATAAATTATAGGCCTATAAATATTTGAAAATAGCCACTTTGTTCTAAATTTTATGAGGATTACAAATATATAATAATATAAGGAAGTAGATTTGTAAATAAATAAGTTATGGGCAAAAAACAGATTTCAGTACATAGCGTTTAGCTAAGAATGCATAGCCTAACCATAGCTAGGAATCTAGCTGATAATTTACATCAATATTACACTACCTAATATTAGACCTACTTCTTCAGGATCATCAACCAGCCCTTCAAAATCACTTAAATCTTCTTATAATGCACCACATATATCACTACTTTTGATTTTTAACACTAAAACAATGATAAACGTAATAAAACACATCAGTCATCGGTCCGAGGTTAACAAAGCTGTTTACAAATACGCACGTCAGCTGTCTGCTACAATATTTTCGGAACTAAAATGAATAGCGCTTAGAGACAGACCTCCGGAGAAAGCTCTGAATCTAACAAAAAGAACGATACCTAACTCGATCCAGTTCAATCCGATTCAGTCAGTCATAGAGCCTTCGCCGTAAACGATGTTCGTGTGTCGAAAAATCGACAAGTGACACTACACAAAGTGTGTCGTGAGTCGATTTTTCGACAAGTGACGCTCGGAGGGTTAATCTAAAACTGTGTTATAGCTCATTAAATAAATATTAAAAGCCAATGTTATTTCCTGGGTACCTATTTTAGGTTAGATTTGCATTATCCATGATTACGATTATCCGCGATCACTTAGCTAATTAAGTATTGGCAACTGTAAAAAGGGAACATAACATATTTTTAATGGTAGGAATTTTAATTTTCTCAACTATAGGAACTTTCTACAGCACACTAACTTAAACCATCATTTCATTTTGAACATAACATCATTTGAGTTAACATCTTGTTGGAACAGTAATCCTATTGGTTCTTAAAAAAAAAATGTAATTTAAAGACTGTTTATAAACTTATTAGGCCTAATTTATTCTTTTGATTGATGTTTAACACTTTTCTTAAATATACTGCAAATCACATTTTGAACATTCATACTGATTCTGTGTACATAACCGACAATCACATAATCAATCTATAATTTATAATGTTACAAAACGAAGAACCTAAAAATACTATATGCTACTAAAATTATATTAGGGTGTTTCTCATCCCACTTGGTTGGATTAGATAATTGTAGGCCTAACTTAGCCATTGAGCCCTTGATTGTTTACGCAACTTCAGTTAAGTTAGGTTTGGTTGGGTAAATATAGGCCTAGGCCTTACCTAACCTAACTGGTGACAGTCGGGTAGGTTGTAACTAACCTTCCCTGGTCACTTCCTGATATTGGATTGAAAAAAAATTTTTTATGAATTTATATATAGACTTATCGCATATCTGTTTATTTACGGTTCAACGCCAGCTCCCATTAGGATATTCTTCTGATTTATAACAGTCTAAAAAAGGGAATCAATCTCTTTCCTGGTATCAAAATGTAACTTTGGTGGTTTTTTTCTGTTCAAAATTGAAAAAAAAAACTTGCTGCAGCAAACCTGCAGACTAGGCGGACTTATATTTTTCTGATTGGATTTTTAATAGAATATTTCCTCAATCATCTCACATTAATTCTATACTTAAATAACATTAGGTTTTTAGGCTTGCTGCTACATGGGAGTTAATGAAATGCACGTTTTAGTGAAATTTTCATAACTTAGTATTAATACATTTTTGAGTTTACAATTTTTAAATCCATAATAACATCTAGGAATATTCAATTTTTAGTTATTGTAGCCATTAAGTTAACAAAACACGTCGGTGTACAAAATAATTTTTTTTAGCTCTACAAAATGCTGTTCGGAGGGAAACTGCAAAATATTAACTTAACTTAAGTAAATAAAATGTAAAACCTATTTTTGCCGTAAAAAAATAATGGTCTGATTATGATGGTTCGCAAACTTGATAGGTTTGCTTTTGGTTTTGTTTACTGTGTGATTTTTGCATTTTAGTTTCTATGAAAATTGTATATTGATATTTGTTTTGACGATGCCTATTGCATTTCATGCCTAATGTAAAATAAAGCATTTCATTTGTTCAAATAAAAAGGTTATATTGATTCTGCCGACCTTTAAGGGAAATTCATTAAAAGGTGTTCCATTTCTACAATCCCCAACAAAGGAAAAAGCCTACAATAAGTTAACAAATGTATTTTTAGGTTGCATAGATATTATATTATTCTAGGTCTACTATTACTTGAGAATGAATTTACTTGTTAACAGTTGAAAAGATTTACTGGTCAGTCGATTTCTTGGAACTAGGCCTACACAATTAATTACAAACAAATATTCAGAATACATTTGGAAAGTAAAATTAATAACTCACCCCACTACTTAATTACACATAAATGCAAAGAGAAGACACAATTTTGAGACAGATTCGAACACATAAAATATTTCTAACAAGCATCTTCGGTTTTATTGAATCCCTTTTGTCAACTCTTAACGATATAACACTGAGTAGCATATCGTCAATGCCTAAAATTTCATTTGAGCAGCCTTTTCTTTTTAACAACTAAAAATAATGCTAGCACAAGGATAGGCACAAGCACCTGGACTCTAAAGAAAAGATTTTAAAAGCGAGTAGTTTCTAATAAATACAAAAATAGGTAATGTTTTCACAATTGAGCTGAAGCAACTTAGAAACAAAATCTCATAGGCCTACTCTATATGCAGACTATCACACTATCAATACAAACAACCAATACAACAACAAATACACAAGACAAACAATACAATACAACAAACAAAGTTGAAAACAGAAGTAGGCCAACTTAAAAATTAAGTTTAATCAAACAAATGTTACAAGGTCATTAACAGTTTGGAAGTTTAGCAGAGGTTTTGGGTTGAAAATATAGATCGCTTGTTGTTTTTTACTAGTCACAATACATTACACCTATGTAAAGTGAATTTAGTTCTCGGTATTAAGACAAAGCATACACATTGCTATCATTTCGTTGGGACTATTAACGTTTAGACAAATAAATGTTATGGAACATAGAGGCCTAGTTTACAATAATACTAACACATAAAAATAACATAGTTTTCTAATAAAATTTTATTTCTTTATCTTTACAGATTTTAAAAGTTTAAGTAAAAGAACCCTACTCTATAAGTTTTTTGGAACTAGGCCTTGGCACTTGGCATATATAAGCCTATTCACCCATTACTCGGCTTATAGGCCTACCTTGGCCAGCACTTTAAAAATATAAATAGTTTCTGGGTGTTTTGTAACATACTGTACCTAGCCTGGTGTAAGGTAAAACTAAAAAGGTTGGAAGGAGTCAGAGATTAAATTCAGTCCATCCAGTTTAAATCAATAGGCTACACATACACATACATGCACACACAAAAAAAAAAAACTCACAAAAAATAAATATGAATTTATTTAATAAATATTGGTTATAAATGAACATATAAAAAATAAAAATAGGCACCATCAAACTTCATATGTAGTTTCAATTGTAGCTGGAGTTAGGCTTATGCCTGTGTTCTACCGAGTAGTCAGTATGGTTGATATAGCCTATGTTGTCCAGTACCAGGCCTACTGTACGGTACTTCAGAAAATGATACTGTAAGTTTAGGTCTAATTTTTTCAAACCATGATTTCTAATGTACGAGAAGCACTGAACAACCATCTGCGGAGTGTGATGAATATAGTAGGTAGGTCATAAGATTCTGACCAAAATGGAGCTTTGCTCTTGCAGTGAATGGATAACTAGGTTTAGAGATTCTTCGAATCAATTAGTTTCACATGACGTATGTAAAATAACCTATTCAAGCATTATTAACACATATAAGTTAACTTAGGCCTAATTAGATTTGAAAACATGGTAAGTTTACATCACAATATTGAGCCAAATTTATTCTCCTAACCATCTGGAGCTCAAAGATCCCTTGAGAGTGAGCGTAGCCAACATTGTTTGGCCATACAGTACAGACTGGCCCTATACTCCTACTTCGGTATACACTGTAACCGATCACAAGAGTCGGCAACAAGCTTCCTCTTGAGGCCAGTTTCTTTGGAATATGAGCTAACTTAGTCCTTCTTCAAAAAGTGAAATTGCCTGGTTGAAAACGTTAATAGGGTAAGATTTCTATTTCTGTTTGGTTCATTAATCTTTTTTCATGACTGTTAAGTCTTACGCACGTGCCTGAAATTTTTTCACGCCATTTATTGGTTATTGTGGTTCTATTAATTGATTGCAGTTATTGTTTATTACTAATTGTTGCTCTATTAGGCCTAGACCTATTATTGTTGTTCAATTTTTCTACCAAGTTAGTGTTCAAATTTATTTATTTTTGTTGTTTTGTATTAGATATGGTTGCTAATAAGTAATCTGTTATTATTTTCATTGTTACCATGTAGGCCTAGTCAAATTCATTTTTAAAGTGTTATTGATGCCATGGTTCTTGTTACTTGCTCTATTTATTCATCTAGACCTAGGCCTATCTCTGTTCATAGTCATTATATTCATCGTTTCTCTAGGTTAGTATAGGTAATAGACCTATGTTAAATGTTACCTCTGTAGGCTACTTTGACTAGCCTATCGTAATCATCAGTAAATTGGCTTCACCCTCGAAATAATTAAATAAGTAGGTAAACTGACAGGCTACCTTTAATGGCTGAGCAACATAACTTACTGGCACAGCAGATGGAATGATGCTGGACATTTATCACAGCAAAGAAGATTTCCACCTTCTTTACAAGCATCACATGAGTCGTGATTGTGGCCTTTTCCTGGTTTTTTGTAATAAGGATGAAGATCCAAGCCTTCTTTCTTCTTCACCTTACCTTCATCACTCACAGGAGGAGCAATCAAGGCCTGAATTTGCTGAAACCATCATACATTCATGCAACTGCAAAAATTGAAGATTACCAAATAATTCTATGTTGACCCCAAGCTATAGGCTAGTCATAACGCTGACTCTCAATACCCCTCAAAGTATGCTACCAAGACATTAATAAATGGTTCACGCCACCTTTTTGTAATGGAACCACAAAATTTAGTGTATAAACGAACATAACCTCTAAATAATTACCTCCATTAAGCCACCTGAAAGGTCCATATCATACTTATTACTTTGATCCGACATTCTTAATATAATATTTCAATTGTTTTCATAAGTAACATAAGAAAGATAAATCCGCACAGTCGTCTTATGAACAGATTCAAGGGTCCAAACGATCTAGCCTCCACAGGCATTAGAGTTCTAATCGTTTGCCAAGTCCAAATGACGATAGGATACAACTAAATTGTGATAATCAAACGTTGTTGATAAATGTTCAACTTAAGGAATTTTACAACCGTAAATGTAAGAAATCATAATTCACAAGATTTACATGAATTTGCCTAGTTCGGGACAAGAAACGAAGCACAAAATCTCCCTTCATCACAAACAACTAGAATGCGCAGATGTGAAAAAAACTCACTTTTTCCGGCACAAGAAGCAGGCAAAAGTAAAAAAAAACAAATTACAAAAAAAGGAACAAAATTGAATAATTCCAATGAAAAGAAATCGACTGCATGCATAAAATGTAAATAATAGACCTAAATAAGATTAATAAAATATTTTATACATCTTAAAAATATACCAAAATAAAAATATCTAGAACATTAAAAACAATCTTCTATGTTTCTCTCCAAAGGCTAGATCGAGTAGATGGTAAGCAAAGTTATTACAGTAAAAACGGCCCCATGGTACCATTGTCAAATATACCGAATGTCAAACATTTATGTGAGTTTGATGCATTGAGATAAATAGATTATAACTGTAGTCACTACTCTCTGGTTAAACATTAGAGAAAACGTGCTACTAGCTCCTGTTTTTGCTGGTTTGTTTTCGGTGTTTCGTGTTGTTAGGTTGGCCGTGTGATCGGTTGGTGGGATGCTGTCAAATTCCAATTCATTCTAATTTAACCATACTATTTATTTGGGGTTATCCGTTATTTCAAGGACTTATATCAAAAACCTATTTATTGCACGTTGAAGCCTGTATGTATTTAAGTTATTTTGAAAAATTATAAATGTTTTCGATAGTAAATAAATAATAACATATTTATCTCTTTTCTAGCTAATGGTGAATAATCGAGTTTCCTGGTTTGGATATATTGGTTTAATCTTAGGTTTAGCCCTATGGCATTTGATTAAAGAACGACGAACGACCATCGGCTTAATAAGATCATAATATGATCTTGTTAAAATGGGTTGCTCATAAAATAAATAAATAATCTTATATTGCAATCATAATATTGACATATTTTTGTTTACTATCAACAAAACAACAGGAGGACGCCATCTTGATCTTGCCCGTGGATCTTAGGTCTTGCCTCTTAAATTGATTCTAATTTGACAAGTCCCACCAACCGGTCATACGGCCAACCTAACAACACGAAACTCTGAAACAAAACCAGCAAAAACAGTGGTACGTTTTCAGCGAATTTCCCATATAGGGAATAAGCTATTACCGTAGTACTCATGGTAAGCCCTGGACGCGGGACCGATTTTTTTTTTTGTGGTCCCTAGAGGCCAAAAACACCATCCGTTCAAATTCATATATATTTATATATATATATATATATATATGTGTGTGTGTGTGTGTGTGTGTGTGTGTGTGTTTCCGTTAGCACGATAACTCGAGCAAAAATGATCCGATTTTGATGAAATTTGGTACAAACGTGTAAACCTACGTTTATTCGAACGAGTTCACTGATAAGAACTGACTGGACAGAAGACATTAAAGCCTTCTACGGCTGGACCGAGGACCTCCAACATTGGCCATCAACCGGCTAAGAGAGGAGACCACCCTAGCGGCCTTGTCCGCCGTACGGAAAATCTGATCCCGCCAGCTAAGCTTGCTGTCCACCATAACCTCAAGGTACTTGGCAGAACGAATGGTCTGAACTTCGACGGCCCCTACCCTCAAAGGCACGATGGTGTCAATCCGTTTTTTGTTAATATCTAGATCTTAGTTTTGCTCAAAGCAAGCGAGAGACCGTGGTCTGCCATCCATGCGTTTATGGTACGCATAACTCGGTTTAGCTTTAGCTGAGCCAGCTCAACGCTGCGTGCAGCTATCAAAGCTGCAATGTCGTCTGCGTACCCAACCAAAACAGTTTCCTCAGGCATTTCAGACCTCAGAAGGCTGTCATAAGCGACGTTCCAGAGGTCTGGGCCGAGTATGGAACCTTGGGCAGCTGCAGAAGTGACACTCATTGTCCGCGGGCCTTCCGTAGTGTCATACGTGAGGAGGCGGAACCAGAGATAATCCTCTATGATGCGCATGAGGTATGCCAGCCACCTCACCGAATTAAATGCATTTCGCACATCGAGCGTTACGAGCAGCACAACCCTACGAAAGTAGTGGTTAAAATCCTCAGCTCTCATCACGGCTTGCTTCACCTCCTCATTCGCATCAATCATTGATCACCCCATCCTGAATCCATACTGACGAGGGGAGAGGTCCCACGCAGCGACAACGGCTGAATTAAGCCGGGAAAGGATCAATTTCACGAGGACTTTGTCAGCTGTATCCAACATAAACAGAGGTCTGTAAGAGGATGGCAGATCTGGGTGTCCCTTGCCCGTCCCAACAAGCACAAGCCTAGCTGTCTTCCAGCACAAGGGGAAAACCCCTTTGACCAGGCAGGCGTTGTACATGCTCAAAAGGATCAAGGTGCTGGTAGTCAAAACCTTCTTGAGGACTTCACCAGGTACCCCATCGGGACCAGGAGCCTTGTTGTTCTTCAGGGATATGACGGCCGCCACCAGCTCTTCAGGGCTGAAAAGTGGGACATCGTCTACCCTTCCAAAGTCCGGCAGTGGGTGCAACGCGTGAGCCGGGAAAATGGACTAGACTATCCTCTTTATAGTGACCCCGTCCATGACGGAAGGTGGAGAGTGGGTTTAAAGTTTCTTGGTTACAAGTTTGTAACCCAGGCCCCACGGGTTGGAATCAACATCGTCCCTTAATTTATCCTAGCAACTGCGTTTACTCCGATTGATGGCTCGACGAAGATACCTCCTAGCCACCCTATAAGCATCCGACTTATGCCGTCTGTCTAGGGGTTCTCTAGCCCTGGTAGCAAGTCTTCCAGTCAGCCAGACTCTCAATGCTGCTCGACGCAATTCCGCAATCTCGGCAGTCCACCAGTACACAGGACGCTTATGAGCACTCCATCGTGCTCCATCTTATGAGTTCCATCGTGGATGCAACTAACGCCTCTGCGTGAGCCACGCCAGTTGCGGGATCAGCCACCGGCGTTCTTCGTAGGATGGCTCCATTGAATTTTGCCACGTCCAGTTTTTTAATGTTCCATCGAACGGGCACTAGACGAAACGTGGCCACTTGTCTCTGATGACCATCCAGGACTTCAAAAATTATGTACTGGTGGTCACTGGCCGTGTAATCCTCCAGGACTCTCCAGGATCTGATCCTTGGCAAAAGGGACTCAGATGCAAGGGTAATGTCTGGGATCGTCCCCCGCATCCCAGGGCGGCGGAAAGTTGGCGTGTTGCCCTCATTGACGACAACGAGTCCGGCTCTGGCAGCAAAGTCCAGAATGTACTTGCCCCAGGAGTTGGTGAGGGTCATTCCCCACTCGACAGCCCTAGCATTTAAGTCCCCACCCAAGATGACGTTTCCGGTAGTATTGCGCATGCTCTCTTCCAGGCGGACTATCTTTTCACGAAAGTCACGGATGGGGTCGTTGGGAGTAAGGTAGACACTGAAGTAAGCGATATCCCTGCACCGAACCCAAACGAAACCTCGGCCATTCGCATGACCCCGCACTTGTACTTTAGCTGCATTACGAGCCCAGAATGCAGCAGTACCAAGACTATCAGGGAACCATAAAGATGGGTCTCTATCTCGATACAGGTACTGTTCGCTGACTAAGAGCGCGTTGACATCGTGTTCGAGGGCAAACTGACAGAGAAGTGCGTCAGCCGTCCTGGATCGCTCAAGATTGCACTGAAGGATTCTTATCTTCGTGGGAGAGATTTCGCTTGCTGTAGTGCAGTTTTAAATACACTACACTGCCCAGACCCAGCTATATGCTTTACGTGTTTGTCAGCGAGCCCATTTTCTTTGCAAAGGAAACAGGACTCGACTTGGAAGTTCTACGGATGTTACCCACCTCCCCGCATCGAAGGCAGTTATTGCTTCGGTTGCGACCCTTGCAGTTTCGGGAGGAATGGCCGAAACCGAGGCACTTAAAACACCTCTTCACTTCCACCCTGCGTCTGAGCCTGCAGTTGACCCAGCCGACTCTCAGATGCTGGAGTGCCAACACCCTACTGGCCCCACACGCCAGCATCTGCCATTTCGGCGATCGCTATCCGCTGCTGACTCCTATTGGGTTTTGTGAGCCAAACCCTTAGAATGACCGTTTGCCTGGCAAGCTCGGGTACAGCTTTCTTCAGGGCCTCAACAACGTCACTCTCCGTCGACACACAATAAATGTCTCGAACCTCGATTGATGTCTTAGGCTCAAGGGCACAGACCCTGGCCTTCAACAGCTGCATTCAGTTCGGCAGTAAAAGCAGCCTAGACTTTCGACTTACCCAGTTCAAGGAGAACGTCCCCGTCCCGGGTTTGTCTAATCGACCGTACAACCGTATTGGTCAGCTCCAATTTAGCTTTGGCCTTTATTACACCCAAGACCTCGGCAAAAGATCTCCCCCCTGAGGGTTTGACAAGGATTGCCTCCGTCCTGGGTTTTTTTGGCCACGACCTTTTCGGAGCAGGGACCGAGCCCACTGCCTCATTCTTCATGGAGGTGACCTCCCCCCGCCTCAATTGCCTCTTCTCCTTTTTGGAAAGGCGTTTTTCCCACACAGCCCCAGGTGTCTCCACCACTGACCCTTTTCGGGAACTTCCCTGAAGGGGGGTCGTGGGTTGCTGTGCCTGTCGACGCCTTGCTGGAGCTGCAGCTACGTACGAAAAGGATCTGGGCCCAGCAGGCGAGAGGTCCGTCTGAGTCGCCTTGGCCTTTACCGTGGTCTTTTTGGTCTGGATTCTCTTTTTAGAGGACTCTCCGATGTGGAAGGCCTCCGACGTTTCTTAGAAGGCAGCGCTCTTTCATCGGGCAGGGACACCACCTTTTCGGCAATCTTTTCCATGGCCGCCTTGATTACCAGACGGCAGGCAAAGACGAAGCCAAAGTCATCCTCTAGTTTGGCCATTCCATTTTTGACCACTTGATTTACGGCTTTGTGGGTCCGGAAGGTGTCCAGCATAGCCTTAATTGTGTTTTCCATCTCACAGAGCCGGGTTTCAATGTTACTATCTGCGTCAAGATATTCCTGACGCAGAAGCACAATCTCAGAGCTTTCCGACCGCGACGTCGCTGTGAAGGTTTCCTTCGGCATCCCTACAGCAGAAATTCTCGGCAGCAGAGTTCCCGGCAATGCCAGTTCGACGTCTACATCACCAACATTTTCTGCACGGTTCCCATTTCCACTTGTCGAAGGTGATCCTAACGGGGGGGAACGTAGAGCACTTGAAAGGTGCAGGTGGTGGAAATGTCCTCACGTTTTTCGGTGGTGGCGACCTCATTTATTTATTTATTTATTTATTAAACATCATCACATTACATCAATTCTCTTGACAGGTGATTTGTCACAAAGTCTAATACTAATACTATACTACGTTTTAAAATAAAATAGCTTACAAAAGAAATAAAGCATATAATAAGCTACAAACCTATGGGAGAAGCAATATCTTTCAAATATACTCATTTTCCAGATATTCCTCTAACGAGTAAAATGCCCTCTCCAAAAGGAAATTTTTTAAAGATAGTTTAAATTTAGAGAATGAGGCAATGTTTTTAATCCCAGTGGGTAATTTATTGTAAATTTTTGGTCCCATATACTGAGGGGATAAATGAAAGATTTTAAGCCTATGTTGAACTGGTTTTATAATATTTTTGAATCTTGTGTTATGTGGATGAGATTGTTGACAGTCCATGAATGTGTCGAAATCACTTTTAACCATTAATGCCAATTTGTAAATATAAGAGCTAAAAAAAGTTAAAATTTTAAAATTAATAAATAAATTTTTACAATGTGTTCTACGGGAGACTCTGGCCATTAATCTTACAGCTCTTTTTTGGAGAATAAATATTTTTTTGGCCTGGCTTGATGAGCCCCATACAGTAATTCCATAATTCATAATCGATGAAAAATATGCGTGATATACTACTATTTGTGTTTCTAGATTAGTAGTATCCCGAATTATTGTGAGAACAAATGTTGCTGAGCGTAGTCTTTTTGATAGGTTTTTAATGTGTTTTTGCCAATTTAGTTGTGAATCAATTTCTATTCCCAAATAATTTATTGACTGTTGTGAATGAATTGTAGTTAAGTTTGTATTTACAATTATTTCTTGGTTAATATTGGATGCAGAAAACTGAATTAGTTGAGTTTTTGCCACATTCATGGACAGGCCATTTACTGCAAACCAATCCCCAAGGAGTTGAAATTCCTTAGTTATTGAGGCTTGAATGAACTCATTGTTTTGTCCTGTGCATATTAAAGCGGTATCATCTGCGTATTGAAAGGTGGACATCTTAGTAGCATTGCATAGATCATTAACATAAATAATAAATAAACAAGGGCCGAGAATGGAGCCCTGAGGAACTCCATTGGGGTTAATGTTCCACTCTGATTTATAATTTCTCTGCATTTTTTGTAAAATAAGTCTTTGTTTTCGGGTCTTTAAATATGATATGAACCATTTTAATTCAGTATTTTTTATTCCATGCATACTTAATTTTTCTATGAGTATCTCATGATTCACACAGTCAAAAGCCTTGGATAGGTCACATAGCACACCCACAGTCTTCTGCGATCCATCCAAGGCTTCCGCAATGTAGTTAATCATTTTTGTTATGGATTTTTCAGTACCGAGTTCTGGGCGGAAACCAAACTGTGAAGGATTTATTAAATTATTGCTTTCTAAATATTCTGTTAGTTGAATCTTTACAATTTTTTCAAAAATCTTTGAAAAACAAGGCAGAAGGGCGATGGGGCGGTAGTTAGAGGGATCGTTGACATCGCCCTCTTTGAACAGAGGTTTAATCTCAGCCAACTTTAGCTTATCAGGAAAAACCCCCCCCTCAAGGGACTGATTCACTATTTGGCATAATGGATGTTCTATAAATTTAAAAACTCTTTTAATGACAAAAAGAGGAATTTCATCCCAACCTGAGGACTTAGTGTTACTGAGAGATGTAACAACTTTTCTTAACTCGTCAATTGAAACATTTCTAAATTTAAATGTTAATTTGGAACGTGGATGATTTTCGATTAGTAACTGAGTGGCTCATAATTTCATGTTAATTACATAATTTCATAAGCTTGGAGCTTCGATCGAAGGGGTTCTGCTCCACTTCAGACGTTTCTTTTTGCTCATTATGGAGCTCCTATTCAATTATGTGTTTGTAGGATTTTTATTAAAACTCATCGTGCTTTCTCCAGCGCATCGTGCGACAAGGAGTGGCCCGGAACGGGTATACCCTCGGGGACAAAAAAACCCCTACCCCAGTTCCGACCTCCGTTTGCCCAGCACCGGATACCTGACGTGCCGGGGCTCTCCCGTCGCAATGTAGAGCCCGACCTCCTTGACCAAGGACCGAAGTGGCTGGTGTTTCTCACGACCCACTGAGAATACCCATCGGCAGTGCAGAGCACACATCAACCCCTGCAACACAACAGGGGCACTCCCAGTGAGTTCGTCGCTCACCCTTTTAGTTGCCTCTTACGACAAGCCCAGAAATATGAACATAGGTAATACAGGTTGCAGATACATATATTACCTGAAAAAAATAAGCTTCTAAGTTAGTTAGAACTGTAGTTATAGCTGTTCCAGTATTTTCAAATGCAAAAAACCAAACAGCTGACAGAAATACTGCAGACAAAACCATGTTTTATTTTTATTACATGCCAGTGCTGCAAACACAACAAAGTAGAGTAGTAATATTGAGATAAGTGCTATATGATATAATCAATATAATACTTACTTGTAATTTACTAGAATTTATTTACTAAAAAAATAATAAATCTGTTTTTCACAGAGGCTTTGCAATAATTATTTTCATGCAAAACTGACAGCAAATTTTACTTTTAAAGTCAAATTTAAATGGTTTCCAAATATACTTTAGTCGTGTATTATATATAATTTTAACAGGAAATTTGTAAAGAATAAGTGATACAACAAAAAATTATTCTTTTTGTAATTTCCAATTTTTTAGGTAGGGTTCCTCCTTAACTTTTTCTCAACATCCGAAAATCTCCTTTTCTATTACAGTATCACAAATGTTTAAATTGCTATATCTGATATAGGGAGTATAAGATTTAGGTCCTTTTTATTTTCCACATCACAACTCTTAGGATGCTAATGTAATACACATCATTTTAATTTTGATGCAGCAATCAATAATTGTAACCTATGATATGCATTAAGCAATCGGAATAGGCGATGAAATAAATCATCCCTGATATTGAGTTAACAATTCAAAAACGTCATTGCTGCAAATAACAAGTAGAATAAAGCTGCTTTTACACAAGAGTTGGGAACACGTGTTTACAACTCATATTCCTAAAAAAAAAACAATAAATAAAACAACTTTAGGAACAAAAACATTTTTATGTTGGAAACAGTTTTTTAGTGTTGTGTTACCAACAGAAATTTTGTTTCCCACCAGAAGCCTGTTAAGATCAAAGGATGTTCCAACATAAGGAAAAATTTGTTTTGGAACAAATGTTTCTGTATGCTTCCGTACTTTTATGCTGTTTACTACACTACGCCTACCCACCACCACGTGACTATCTCGAGGGACTGACAACCTGTTTTCGAAAACGGCGATTAAATTGTTCCAACAAAATCAAAGAAATGTGCAACATCTGTTGTAAACTTTTGTTTTAGAAACAAGTTTTACCATGAAAAAGTTCCAAACATTTTGTTCCAAACTCCGGTATAAACACGACTAATGGCTTTTTTGGTCAAGATGTTTGTAAATATTTAAATAGGCTACAAAGTTTGAGGCCATTCCCTTTCTATGAAAATAATTCTTTAAATACCATATGAAAAGCTCTCAGGGTGTATTAGCTGGTGAAGTAATAATTTCCTGAAGATTTCTACTATTTAACACTTGCTTAAATTCTATAGATAAATAGGTAAAGGGTGTTTTCAATGATTTTATTACTTTTTGTCATTTTAGGATAACCAATGATGCAAGAGGGTCCACAATATAATTTTTGAGCTGTCTCACAAAGTCCAATACAAACTACTCGACTGTTGCACGACGGCCAAATCTCATCATGTCCAAAAGTACAGTAACTACAATAAACAGTCTTTCTGCAAGCTTTGGATGTCATGGGATTGTCATAAGATTGCTCAAGAATTATATTTTGGATGTCGTGACACTTGGACTTTGTGTAATGCATCCGAAATAGGCCATGTGGTATGTTCCTGAATGGTCAAAATCTCAAAGAAATTAATAGAAAGCTAATATTGTGAAGGTATTAAGAAAATAAGTTCAACACAAGGCAAAATTTATTGTAATGAAATAAGGAAAAATTGACAAATCCCAGAACAGTCTCTTTTTTACACAAATCGTATATAATTTTGTGCAGTTTCAATAGTACAAATACATGAATATTAGAGACTTCTAACACTGAAAGAACTCTACTGAGGTTCTTATAATAACACACAGTTTCATTATATACAAATAAAATATAAGACTTAGTACAAAACAATATTTTCAAATGTGGGCTATATTTTTTTGTTTGAAATTGTAAAAATTAACATAAAAGTTTAAAAATTAACATAAGAGTTTAAAAATTAACATAAGAGTTTAAAAATTAACATAAGAATTCAAAATTAAATAAAGAAATTAAAAAATTAACTAAATACCACCGTTTCACGGTTATGCTTTCTCTTTAGATATAAAATGTTAAAAATTATTTTTATTTTTTTATTGAAACCGATGACACAAACAATTTGTACTGACTGCTGAACAGCATGCTTGCTGGGGTGGCTTCTTTTAAATAACCACATACAATTGGGTACATACATTACCAGAATAATTACAAAATAAAAAACCTTGAGAAATACATGAAGACTCTTTTGGTTATTCTTAATTGGTAGAACACTCAACACAATAACAAGCCTTAAAAAATCCCTTTAACTGGGGTTCCCACTCCATTGAGAAATCTAAAATCCTATCTAGATATCTACCTTTTGCTGTGATACTATTTTGTAGAATAAAAAAAAGAATGTTTAACTTTTAACGTTTCCCAAGATACATTTTTACAACCACTTTAAAAATGTAATTGCTTATAAAATACATTTTGAAAATGGGAACAACATTGTTTGTGCCAAAGATTTGTAGATCATTTTACATGCACTAGTATACATATTTTTATGGGCCTTAAAGCATATTCAAAATTAGAAAAGTTCGCAAACAAATTAAATGGAAGGGTTCCTAGAAATGTGTCAGTGGTATTCAGTGATGCTCATTTACATGCTCGTTTACATTGTATCATACAATTCAATTAACACGTGTATGTACAAACAGTGCTATTCTCTATTCGTTAGATTGCAAGCATTGTTACACCGATGTAGGTAACAGGCATGGTAAGAAGCCGTATTGAGCAGACAGAAAGGCTTCTGACTATAATAGTAAAAATATCATTTAACACACAATTTTTCAAGATTTTCAAAATCTTGAAAACCAAACGATTTGTACATCTATCAAAAACATTTACATGAGAGGTCAGCTGAAATGAAGCATTGCACAACAAAACTATTTTCAACAAATACAAAAAATGCAACATTAGCCTTGGGTGTAAATGAACAACTCCGGTCTTCCGCGATACCCACATTCATATGACAATACTTACAAATCGTTAGGAACCCTTTACTCATGGCGAATGTTTAACTGAAAAATGTCGTTGGAATAAATAGTTGAAAACAATTCAAATTTAAACAAAATTTGGAACAATTGGTTGATATTGCTGTAATATAACTCAGCTTTGATCGGTTAAAGAGGCAAACTTGTTCCCGAGAGCGAGCTTGTTTGGAGTCATCCTGGTAGAGTTTTCCGAGTACCGTGATGAGTGACTTTTGCTGTTCCTCACTTCTTCAAAACCAACTTCCTCCCTTTTCCTAAACGGAAGAACAAATGGGAACATAAATATATCTTATAGTTTCAGACTTAAGACAATGCTTTAACATTATTTCATCATTCCTACAGCTTATGAACTATTTTACAATACTGCTGAGGTAAAGATTGCATTAATTAAATGGTAAAAATAAAAGTGTACTAACAAAAATATAATGACAAGAAGAATGAATTTGTAGCTACAACATACCTAAAATACATGTAGGTATTTCAACGTTTTTGCCTTATGTTCCAATGTCATTGTTATTGAAACACACATATTTTGGACCTGAGCCCTGTTTCATAAAAATACTAGTATAGTAATTACTAGTCTAGTAAATACTAGTCCCGTATTTACCTGTCCTACTAATTTGTGTTTCATTAAAGGCGGTGACACACTATCGATCTTTTCCCCGATCAAGACCCCGAACCGAGCAGGTAGAAGGGAGAAGGGAGGTAAATATTAAGCAAAATTTAAATCCGAATATTTCCCCGAACAAGACCAAGACCAAGTTCTATCGAGCGCGGAGGCAGTAATAATAAAACAGTAATAAAACATGAAATAACATGTTACAGAATGATAATTTTAATTGTATTTAATAATATTTATTTTTATATTAATTTTGAAAGAATTTATGTATAATATAAATTACTTACTTCAAGGTAAACATTATTGACTTTATAGGCTTACAGGACAGTAGTCCAAAATTGTGTCTTATTTCAACTAATATTGATCAAAGCTGACATGTTTCGTTGCACTGCAACATCGTCGGAGCTTTACGTCAAAAACATCAAATACAACACGGGACACGGAACATTTAAACACGAAATAACACGATAGCGCTATCATTACACGGCACGGCAGCGGTTGTAGGTAGACTCTAGAGATTTGATGTTTAAATTATTAAATTTGATGTTTTTGACGTAAAGCTCCGACGATGTTGCAGTGCAACGAAACATGTCAGCTTTGATCAACATTAGTTGAAATAAGACACAATTTTGGACTACTGACGGAGGTAAGCCTATAAAGTTATTATTCGTAGTCCAGGGGCTATCAGAATGAATAATGTAAACATTATTGGTAACATTGATATAACGGTTTCAACTTGTAAAATACATTTCCAACCTTGACCAAACAAACCACAAAATTACAACATAAATGCCCATAATAACGCAAAATAACGACAAAATATTACCCAACATTTATTTATTTTGCCAATTAAAGAGTTTAATTGTCATATTAAATTAGAACTATCAACGCCAGCGCAGGCGACCGCTCGGTGCGGCGCTCGCGACGATGTACGGGGCAAAGTATACCGTGACACACTATCGTACATCACTTTGTACATCGGACCGATCTTTTCTTTGATCTTTCGCCAAAAAACCGCCTCCAGAGCGCTCGTCTACCTGCTCGGCCTGATGTCTGGTTCGCCGTCTGGATCGGTGTACGGACCCGTGACACACTATCGAACATGCTCCCTTCGACCTCCCTTCTCCCTGCTCGGTTCGGGGTCTTGTTCGGGAAAAGATCGATAGTGTGTCACCGTCTTGAACATTTTTATACCGCTAGTAAATACTAGTGTATTTTACTAGTCACGTGACCAAAACTACTTGTCACATGACCAACTTTACAAGTGAACTGTCAACACTAATTTCTAACCTCAATCATGGGTTTTCTGACACTTCATAAAGGGTTTTAATTTTTTTTAAATTTGATACTAAAAGTAAATAGCTGTAGAGACGCAGTGTCTTCTTTTAATTAATATCTATATAGACATGTAAGTAAAACAATCACATACAGTTGAACCTCGTTTGTACGAACCTCGTTAAAACGAATTCCTCGATAAGACGATTTTTTTTTAATCCCCTTGACACTTTCATATAGGTCAATGCTAAAAACACCTCTATACAACGTAGTAATTAAGTTAAAAACCTCCATAAGACGAATTTGTTTGTGACATGGGCTAGGACTGATTAACCTCTATACAACGAATATTCTTAGCACAAAACCTCTACAAGACGAACGTGACCTCTATAAGACGAATTTATCATAATCTTAACCTCCATAGTACGTAGTTTTCAAAACAAACAGAAGCTTGTCTCAACATGAAACCCCCACCCATCCCTCCTCCTTCCTCAATCATTGTTTCGAAAAACCTTGGAGCAAGGAGAAACCTCTATAAGAAGAATAACAGCAGCATTAAACCTCGATAAAACGACCCTCTTTATTAAGAATACCTCTATTGTACGAATATTTCCCGTACCCCTTGAAATTCGTCTTATAGAGGTTCAACTGTATTATTTATCAAACCGCTATTATTTATGTTCATCAATGAACCCACCGCCGCCGGCGTCGCCGCAAACAAACACGGTCATTGTAGTAACCGGTTGTAGGCCTAGTTGCGGCGCTCAACAGTTGTGTGGAAGTTGATCTGTTGCTGCCACATACGCTGTGATTTTTAGTTTTTTTTTTTTATCTGACGTATAAAATTAAGCTTACTGAATGCTATACCTAAATTAGCTTATGAGTATCGAAAATAAGGCTCAAATTTTGAATGTAATTAAGTAGTCAAAGGACATTTTGTTTGGATTTGGAACGTTAAGTACCCTGGCCTATGTTTTCAAATATTCGAATGCATAAGAATATTTGAATTAAAAATTGTTTGATGGTTTTCTAATTTTGAGTCTACAAACCATGAATAATAAGCCTAAACGTTTATTGATGTAAAAAATAATTGCAACGCTGTAACAAGCAATGGAGATGTAGGTTTTCAAGTATAGTAAAAAATGGCCTAGGCGCTTTGGCAGGGCGTAGCTCAGAGGTAGAGTTCTCGCCTCTCATGTGGTGGGTCCCTGGTTCAAATCCGCACTACTCAGTATTCTTTTTATTCCATTAATTTAACTTTTACATTTTTTCCCACTTCAATGACAGCACGAATCAACATCTATTTTTTTTTTTACTATGAATAACAAATTCAGGATACTTAAATGAATTAAAAGTATTGTTTTTATGATTAAGCAGTCCAGTCCAACACAAAAAAAAAATTATAGTCCTACGAAATTGATAGTACATCACAGGGTTTTAGCTATTTAGGGAAGCAAATAATAAGCACCTAAAGAAAATACTATGCAACTCCTCTTTCAAATTGTCTTATTTTCATCAGCACATTGGTTTAACTGGACTAGATCAGCAGGAAGTGGGCAGTACTGAAACAACTGTTCTCGTGGGAAAGATTTGAGACCAGTGATCACGTGTCTAAATACAATGCTCTCCTAAATTTAAGTCGAATATCACAGTAAACAGTCAGTTTTAACGAGTTTATGGGGACATCGGTTTAACAGGAAATCCCGTTATCCGGACTGGTCTCAGTCCCGAGGAGTCCGGATAAGAGGGAGTCTACTGTACTATTATTTCCTGTTAAAATGTAAAAAAAACCAGAGCTTTGGGTGCAAAATAATCTGATAAATGTTGTCAATGTTGGATACATTTTTGAAGATCTTTGTATGCAATACGGTATGCTGTTTTAATTTGGTTTCGCTCAAAGCCTAATTTTTTTCTCCGTGCTATTTTATTATAGCTTAATAGTTGATAAAACCATTAAATTTAACTCAAGTAAAAGAAAACTTTCACACTACGTAGTTTATAGCTTATAGAATTATTCTAATTGGGCAATTTTTCATCCATAAATTCACTAATTTTGTACTTCACCACATTTATTGATTGTAATTTATATCTAATAATTTTCATTTTAGCACTAGCAAAACAAATTGTTTATCTAAGATTGCAAACGTGAACCAATTTACACTTGAACTTAATTAATAATTCATTTTTACAATGATGTCAGTAATGAAATATCACTCTTTTAAAAAAATACTAGTCTACTACAAATAATACGGGTGGATAGAGGTTGGTAGAAAATGGCAGTATTTACCAGAGTAAAACCTTATGAAACACACTTGTTGTCAACACTAGTAATATTAGTCCCTACACTAGTAACTAGTATTTTACACTAGTAAGTTTTTGAAACGTAGACTTGTAAAATACACTAGTATTACTAGTCCATGGACTAGTAAATACTAGACTAGTATTTTATGAAAAGGGCCCCGGCGGTATTATTGAATAGTAATAATAATATCTTTTTGATGTTAGCCACCGTAATACGTTGAATATATAAATTGGTATTAACCAATTTAATAATATTTTTTTTAGAAATCATATGAATCTGATTGCTTAGGTAAATACAAAAACTATATGTTTAATGTGATATTACAAAAATTACTAACACACTTATTTTTTAATCATGCACAAGCATTTGTTATAATTTTTTGTACCTTGTATGATCACATTTAACTATGTACCATTAAAGCCCAAAAAGGATTTAGTAAAACTGAATCCATTAAGAAAATACAACTACACCATGATTAAAGTATGTAATATAACACATGAGCACCCTGAATTTAGTCTGTGAATTTAATATGTGATATATTTTAAGTCCAAATACTCCAGCTGCAGTAAACCAGCAGATAAGCAAATTTTTCATTAGTATGGCTAGATTTTCATTACAATATTTTCTAAAAATTGTGATATTCATTCCCTAATTAGGCCTAAATAACATCAAATTTAGTGGGTAATTACGTTTCCTGCTGCAAGGAATGTATAGTGTGTTCAAAATCGGGTTGGTTTTACTTTAGTTGTTGTGCTAACAAATACATTTATATATGTTACAGGCGAAATAGATAATCAGACATTCTATACAATTCCTAAAATCAACCAGGCAAAGTATGAAATAGAGCTTATTATATACTTTACCTAGTCTTTCTATAGAATGCCTGTTAGCAATGTAGGTAAGGTATTAAATATGCCGTTGTAGGACTTTTTTAACCTTCTGTACCCTTGTATGGCATTACTAGTCTAAAATAAACTAACCAAACCTTTGCTAGCCATAAACACAATATTGTTTTCCTACAGTCACCTGACAAAGTGGGCTTCCTTGCACTGATTATAGTACAGAAAGTTGCTAATTGCTGCATTTACTTACTTTAATTTGTCACACTTTTTTGCTGATCATTTTTTGCCGCACACCAGTATTCCAACCAAACAACACAAAACAGCGTGCTTTTATTAGGCATGTAATACGTGTAGGGTTGAAAATAAGTTGGCAACACTTACTACTACTGTACGACTATGATCAGCTAGTGCAGTGTTTCCAGCTTCAACGCTTTAGGTTCAACACTTGGATTTAACCTAACCTAAAACGTGTTGTTTAGTGTTTGAAAGACTATTTTTTTCTATTCTTTATAGTAACTGTTTGAAAAATATAATGTGTAAAGCGAGTAAATAAACACTTTTAGTCTAATAATATATTTACACTTATACTGTTTACTCGCAGGTTCGTCTATTGGGTCTGATGATGATTGGAGTGTCCAACCGAAATCGATCACGGCTTACCATCTTTTATATGTATTTACCGTCTTGTGAGTTGACAGTATAAGTAAAAATATATTATTACAAGTGTTATTTGACTATTTTTGTACTTTCAGGTAATATAATAACATGTACGATGCTGATCAAGAAGTTATTTGTTTTAAGGAAGTATTAAATACGCTGGTGTAGGACTTTTTAAGACTTCTTACCCATCTGTTTTTTTACGCTTGTTCGGCATTACTTATCTAAAATAAACTAACCTAACCATACACAAATAAAAATCAATCCTGTTAAATACAATTTTTTCAAATATCTTTATTCTATACTTTGCTGACACTCCTACGGGTAATCTATAGAATGCCTAAGATTAGGGAAATGATGAGGATAGACAAAAATTACACACTTTTTTTAAGCAAAGAATTTTTTCTGAAAGAAATATTAATAACTTTATAAACTCTATCAGCAAAATGAAGTGGAATACTACAAAAAATAACAACCTTTTTCTAAACAGTAATAATTTTTTTGGTTCTTTTCAAAGAATTTTTGAGGAATCTTTCCCTTTCAAACCTGTTAAAATTAAAAAGAAAATAGTAAATAAAAAATGGGTAACACAAGGTATTCAAATTTCTAGTCAAAAGAAAAGAATGTTAAGCAACTTAGCAAAGAGTACTACTGATGTTAACTTTATTGGCTATGTAAAAATGTACAAAAAAGTTTTTAAATCTGTTTGTAACCTAGCAAAGAAAATGTATAATTGTAGTTATATAAATAAGGCTAGTAATAAGACTAAAGCAGCATGGGTTGTGGTTAAAGCCGAACTTGGTTACAAGCCAATCAATAATTCTTTTCCTGATTTAGTTATTGATAGCAAGTTAGCCTCAGATGGCACAGTTATTGCAAGTCACTTTAATTCTAAATTTATTGAGGTAGGGAAGGATTTAGGGGTAAATTTTTCCAAGAGTAAGGCAATGGAACTAGTAAAAAAATCAATCACACATAGGCCTGATATTCCAATTTTTAACTTTAGTTTAGTTACACCTCAGCAAGTTATCAAAATAGTCAAGTCACTAAGCGATAAAAAAAACGGCTGGTTGGGATGGGATTTCAACTACTATGATAAAAAAAGTAATTAAGTTTGTTGCTGAGCCATTGTCCATAATCATCAATCAGACTTTAAACCATAGCACTTTCCCTAATCATTTGAAGTATGCAGAGGTGAAGCCATTATTTAAAAAAGGTTCTAAGAGTAATTCAGATAACTACCGACCTGTTTCTGTCCTGCCTTCTTTTTCAAAGATATTTGAAAAAATTGCACTCAATCAAATGTCCTATTTTCTGGAATCTAATAACTTATTAGATGATTAACAGTTTGGTTTTAGGAAAAATCGAAGTACCACTTCCACTGTGGCTCATTTTGTAAATTCAATAACACAGAGCTTGGATGGGTCACAGAGCACTATTGGCGTGTTCTGTGACCTATCCAAAGCCTTTGATAGTGTACACCATCAAATTCTTCTTGATAAATTATCCTCATATAGATTCTCAGAATCAGTTATTTTGTGGTTGAAATCATATTTAAACGATCGCTTTCAAAAAACAGTTATTATTAAAGAAAACATTAAGTATGCTTCTGAATGGGAAAAGATTGTTATGGGGGTGCCTCAGGGCTCTATATTAGGACCGTTATTGTTTTTGATGTACATAAATGATCTACCTAAGAATGTTAAAACTAGTTTGTTGTTATATGCTGACGATACGACAGCCATCATTAAATCAAAAGACAGTCATGAACTAAGTTTAGCCTTGAATTAAGCTCTTCAAGATCTGTCAAAATGGTTTAAAGTAAACGGTTTAAAAATGAACCACATTAAAACACAAATAGTAAAATTTCAAACTGCACAGTGTAGGGACGATCTTGAAGGCTTTGTTTATTTTGATAATGAAAAACTAAATCTTAGCAACACAGCTAATTTTTTAGGAATTGATGTAGATAGTTTATTGAATTGGAAGAATCACATTCATAACACCTCTAAAAAGTTAAATTCAGTATGTTTTCAAATGTTGGTCTTAAGAAATGTTGTTGATTTAAACACCAGACTAATGATTTATCACGCTTTATTTTCGTCAATTTTACAGTATGGAATAGAGCTTTGGGGCGTCACATCTGATTCGTATAAGCTTTTTAAACTTCAAAAAAGAATACTTAGAATTATGACTTTTAAATCCGTAAAACATTCTTGCAAACAACTTTTTAAAGAACTAAAGATTCTAACCGTCCCTAATTTGTATATTCTTAAATGTTTATTGTATGTGAAATCAAATTTTGAAAAACTCAACAGTGAAAATAATCGGCACAATTATAACACTAGATTTCATACAGATTTTCAATATCCTATACACAGATTAAATCTTGTGGAAAGGACACCTTCTTATATGGGTAAAAGATTTTTTGACAAGTTTGCCTGGGTACTACAAATCTATAATAGGATTAGTATCTTTTAAAGAAAAAATTTTTGAATTTTTGTTGGAAAAGAATTATTATAGTATTGATCAGTTTCTCGAAGACAAATCAATGTGAATTGTTTGTTTTGTTACCTACTATGTATTTATTTTTACCAATATAAGCTAGTTTATTTTAGTATAGTTTGACAATGTCACCTGTTTTGTCTGGCTGTGACAGAGCATTTAAAAAAAAACGTTTTGTGACAATAAAGATGACTTTGACTTTAGGGCTATACACAATTCCTAGTCAAAGTGTATAAAATCCTATCCTATTCTATTTCCTACTTTGCCTAAAAGCTTCAGTCATTGTATAGAATGCCTGCATTATATACTAATACTTTGCTTGTAACAAATACATATGAATTTGATCGTCTTGATTGGATGACGTTCTTAGCCTTTGGGAAAATCAAAATGAAAGTAAATCAGTCCAAGGCCTTACCATGAGATCTACTGTAATAGATCATTCTCTATTGGGAAAATTTGCTAAAAATACAAAATCAAGATTAACTAATTTATTAAAATAACTAATTGAATTATAGTATTTTACAAAAATAATATAAAATATAAAGATATTTAAAAAAAAACAATGACAAAGTTTCATTAGCCTATATGACACTAAGTTATAATAATGTGTTTAGTGATAAAATTATAGAACTTTGAATCACCATTATTTATTTTGGGTGTAAACTTAAGTTGTATATAAAGCTCTATAGTTTTTTAGTCTCTGGGCAACATTTATAGGCCTATACATTTTTGTTACAGTCAAATGTTGACAGAAGCGAAAAACTCTGAATTACTTTATGTTTGAAGATTTCTTTAATTGATAGAAAAATCTTTTCACAGGGACATCCGTATGTCAACGATTACTGCAACTGGGACACAGTTTCTTAACGAATGGTATACAAAGCTACAAATTAAAAGCCTAAAGTAACTTAACAAGAGGTTTCACTTATTGGGAGGAAACATTTTCATTGAAATGTATAATGAAATAACAAAATTTTTGAACATGGGAGGATTTTTGTAAATTGCACAATTAATTGTCAAAGAACCACAAAATTTTACATTTTTAAAATTTTACGGAATTGTTTCAATATTGGCCACTTAAACAACTCAAAGGTCATCCTACTCCTTGTTGGATTTACAGGGAAATACAGGATGTTTTTAAAATATTGCCTTATCAGATTTGCCAAACCATTATTGCCAGATATTATTGGCTTAGAATTTTCCGAACATGAATCATCAACCTATTATTTTCCAACAGAAACAGTTTGGGAGCTAGCTGGTTTAGTGGTAAAGCACGGGACTTAAGTCTCCCAGGGCCTAAGTTCAAATCCCACCAAACACCGATGGATTTTATGTAAGTTATAAGATAATTCTGCGACCCTCTAAACCTAGCCTGAAGTGATATGAAACGGTTCAGGGCTAGAGCCTAAATCCTAGGATGTGAAGGTGGATCATAAAAAAAGAAATGGTTCTCTTCTTCAAATAATTTTTATAACATAAATGTTGTATCTGATGTAAGTGTTTATAGATTTCATAAACACATTTTACCATTATTACCTAACAAATCTGAGACTACTTACTTGCGTCCCCAAGCTCCACTGGGCTCGGCTGACGTAGCCGCTGAGAGTGTGGGGAACATGGCTTCACTGTTGACGTCCGGTGCCGCTCTAGATTTCTGGTTTCTTAAACCTAAAACAAAATTATACTGTAAAAACTACCGCTTGTCCTAAAATGTGATTTTTTAAAAGCACAGTGGAGTACCTATAAAACAAAATAGATCAGTAGTGGTTTTAATCTCCTTGGATTATTGTCTTCCAAGAAAGCATCACTCAGCTGAGCCCAGGCCAACCTAACGACCGGCTTTTGCAAAACAATTTAATAGCATACTAATGGAAGAAAGGTAGCAAACAACTAAGTTTAACACTCTTATAGCCTCCAATCTGTATTACCATATTTACAATTAAACAAATACATCTAATCTATGCATTGTTTGAATCGAAAATGAGACTTGTGGCTCTGACATAAAAACAGGAATACTGTATGTATCTAATATACTATAAACCTCATCTAACAAATACTGAAATAAATTTATCAGTGCAAAATAAGTTTAAATTCAGAAAATTAAAAGGAAAAAACAGAAAATTTTAATAAAATAAACAGAGTTGATGGGTAACATAAATACCATATTGTGAACACAAAGAATAACATGGTGTCTACTAAACCTGGTTTGAAAAATTCAAGGAGTTTTCCAGGAGAATTCAAGACAAATTCCTGAATTTTAAGAGCTACTATCGGAACTCGTTCAACTAATCGCAACCCGCTAATATTAATTTATTATTACTATTAATGATTATTTTAATTTAAAAGAAAACTTTTCCAAAGAAAATATTTTATACAACATAATAAAACAGTATAACTAGTAGGTAAGGCGACACCAGCTATCATCTCCTGCGATCGTGGGAATACCGGTGAGCATATCTTGCAGTCTTGTCAAAACAGGCAACCGATCGCGGCAAAACATATCCCGTGGTTTCGGCAACACCGCTAATCGTCTCCCACAATCGCGGCAATACCCGTGAGCATATCCTGCGGTTTCGGCGACACCGATAATCGTCTCCCGCGATCGCGGCAATACCCGTGAGCATATCCTGCGGTTTCGGCGACACCGATAATCGTCTCCCGCGATCGCGGCAATACCCGTGACCATATCTTGCGGTTTCGGCGACACCGATAATCGTCTCCCACGATCGCGGCAATACCCGTGAGAATATCTTGCGATTTCGGCGACACCGATAATCGTCTCCCGCGATCGTGCCAATACCCGTGACCATATCTTGCGGTTTCGGCAACACCGATAATCGTCTCCCGCGATCGCGGCAATACCCGTGACCATATCTTGCGGTTTCGGCGACACCGATAATCGTCTCCCGCGATCGCGGCAATACCCGTGAGCATATCCTGCGGTTTCGGCAACACCGCTAATCGTCTCACACGATCGCGGCAATACCCGTGAGCATATCCTGCGGTTTCGGCGACACCGATAATCGTCTCCCGCGATCGCGGCAATACCCGTGACCATATCTTGCGGTTTCGGCAACACCGATAATCGTCTCCCGCGATCGCGGCAATACCCGTGAGCATATCCTGCGGTTTCGGCAACACCGCTAATCGTCTCCCACGATCGTGGCAATACCCGTGAGCATATCCTGCGGTTTCGGCGACACCGATAATCGTCTCCCGCGATCGTGGCAATACCCGTGAGTATATCCTGCGGTTTCGGCAACACCGATAATCGTCTCCCACGATCGCGGCAATACCCGTGACCATATCTTGCGGTTTCGGCGACACCGATAATCGTCTCCCGCGATCGCGGCAATACCCGTGAGCATATCCTGCGGTTTCGGCAACACCGCTAATCGTCTCACACGATCGCGGCAATACCCGTGAGCATATCCTGCGGTTTCGGCGACACCGATAATCGTCTCCCGCGATCGCGGCAATACCCGTGACCATATCTTGCGGTTTCGGCAACACCGATAATCGCCCCCTGCGATCGCGGCAATACCCGTGAGCATATCCTGCGGTTTCGGCAACACCGCTAATCGTCTCCCACGATCGCGGCAATACCCGTGAGCATATCCTGCGGTTTCGGCGACACCGATAATCGTCTCCCGCGATCGTGGCAATACCCGTGAGTATATCCTGCGGTTTCGGCAACACCGATAATCGTCTCCCACGATCGCGGCAATACCCGTGAGAATATCATGCGATTTCGGCGACACCGATAATCGTCTCCCGCGATTGTGCCAATACCCGTGACCATATCTCGCGGTTTCGGCGACACCGATAATCGTCTCCCGCGATCGCGGCAATACCCGTGAGGATATCTTGCCGTTTCGGCGACACCGATAATCGTCTCCCGCGATTTCGGCAACAAAAGCGGCAGTGTTTGGTTAGCCGACGATTCCGATGACCGGGCTGTGGATTCCCGGAGGTTTGGTTGGATTCCTGGAGTTTTCCAGGACATTTCAAGGTAAGATAAAATTCCCGGAGTTTTCCCGGTTTTCCCGAATTTCCCGGAGTTTTCCCAGTTTTCCCGAATTTCCCGGAGAGTAGACACCATGAATAACCATAGTATTTATTTTTTCGTAGCAAATTGTTTTTTCTGATTTTTTCCATAATAAGAGAATTATTGTGAAATAGCAAAGTAGATTAGCTGCTGAGTTGTATACTAAACTTCAAGTCAGAGTGAGGCAGATTCATGGGTGAACCAGTCAACCGCACTAATAGTCTTATCCCTTGAGTCTATTGTGCGTGCTTGGAGCTGCTCGGGCAGCCTAGCTGGTGAGTCATTACTGGCTCCACTATCTCTGAGCAATATTTTTTATGTTGAAATATAAAAATCTGATGGTATCAATTAATATATTTTAATCTCCTGATCATTTTGATAACAAATTTGAAGAGCATCGTGGAATTTTAAGGTTACATTCAAAGTACAGTGTAATTTTAAAAATTCCACGATTCTCTTCAAATTTGGTATCAAAATGATCAGGAGATTAAAATATGTCCATTAATACCATCAGATTTTTATATTTTCTTCAAGGAAAAAATATTGCTCAGAGCCAGTAGTTTGACTCACCGGCTGCCCGAGCAGCTCCAAGCACGCACAATAGACTCAAGGGATAAGACTATTAGTGCGGTTGACTGGTTCACCCCGGTTCTGCCTCACTCTGACTTGAAGTTTAGTATAGTGACTTTCATGATGATTGTGATAAAGGGGCTGGAGAGATAAGGAGGACACAAACACTGATCTATGGAAGTGAGGAAGTGATTAGAAATTTGTGCTTGGATATCCAGTCTTTTAATGAAATGCAGACAAGCCATATTAGGCTTTTGCAGCATGGTGATAAATGACCTTTGTAAAAATGTTTTTCAATTTGTTTCAAATAAATAAATAGCCTAAATAAAACTCTTTACGCTGACATAACATGAACAGGAGATCAATTCAAACATTTTATCAAGGTTTGACACATCACTAGTGCATTACTTGTTTTTAGTTTCTTAATCAAAATTGTCTTAACAGTTTAAACTTTGAATTCCTGAATTCCCGTCTATTTTCTAATCTTTAACACCATTGATCCTTATGGTGGCGATTAATAAAGGTTATTAAAATTTGTTCTAACTTTAAAGCGAAAACAATTTTATTATTTGTGAAGAGGTCCTGAAAGTCATAATAGTTTATATTATCGGTAATTAAGAAATATTGGTATTTAGGACCTTACTAAAAGAGCTTACTTGAGAATGCCACTGGGGGTGGCTGGTTGCGCAAGTTGGGTGGGATGTAGGTTCCCCCGCTCACAGTGCCTCCGCTGCGCAATGGAGCTCTAACTACCTCCTCCTCAGCGGGCTTCTCGGATTCTGCAAAAGAATAATCTTCATAGATAAGCTTACAAAAATTATTATTGATTAGAATCTGCAAGATTAAAAACACATTCGTACTAATGCAAGAATAACATTGTTCAATATAAAAGGATCAACCAAAGAGTATTTGCTTCTATATTCTTCAAACACAATAGACGAAGCATTATTGTACATAACTCCTAACACATGGTTCCTTGACACTAAATTATTCTACAAAGTATTAAAATTTATTTTAAAAGTTCAATCAATTTTGCAATCAACTTTTTGGCCCTATGGCTCTTTCGGTTTGGGTGATAATTTGCTTCGGATAGATTTGTTTTTATGTTCTACTACAATTATAAGTAGGCCTATTTAAGTCTTCAATTATAAAAATGAAACTAACATAGTATTTTCTCGTAAGTAATAAAGCCTACTTTTGAATTAATCAGGATGAACCTGAAGTGCCTTGGTAGTCGCACCATTCTTGTCATGGTTGATAGGCTAAATACATTTTAGTCCTTCAAACAAATAGCCTAAATTTATTCACCAAGTCATAGTCAATGTTATTGTCCTTCAAAAAAATAACAATTTATTTAATGAAATGAAATGAGATGAGATGAAATGAAATAAGATTTTTTTTTTAAGCACTGTACAAAATGCAATAGGCATCGTCAAAAAATACATTTGTCAATACACACAAAATAGGCTTATAATCACTTTTTGCTCGAATGTCAGGTAGCTCAAGAATCTGACTCTTTGAAAAATTTATAAGACTAATTTTAGAATAAGGAAGATAGAGGCTAGCTTACCTTGAAGAAGTGTAGTTAGGCCATAGAACCTACAGAAGAGACAGTGTGCACACAATATTTCTAGAGAAAGTTATAGGGTTTATCTATAACTGTCTATACACTTGACACAATCCCCAAGGGGACAAAATATTGTGTGCACACTGTCTCTTCTGTAGGTTCTATGGCCTAACTACACTTCTTCAAAGTAAGCTAGCTGCTATCCGCCTTATTCTACAATTCAAAATCCTGGCCTAGAGCCTTCCATTGAACAAAACAAAATATATTTACCAAGCCATGGTTGATAACACGTTTCTGTCCTTCAGACAAATAACAATTTATCTACCAAGTCATATAAGATAACGTGATGTTTTTCAAACAAATAACAATTTATTTACCAAGCAAGAAGCGTAATCCACAAACACTCACCAGCGGGGTTGTCTTGTGTTGGCATTTGGGGAACCTTCCACGGACCCGTAGCTTTCCTTCGGGGAACCATTTCACCAGCTTCGTTTTCCTCCATACCGCCTTCATCGTCTTCATCCAATTCGTTTTCAGCTTCATCATTTTCCTGCTCGTTTAATGTAATATTCTGAATCTTCAAACCCGTGTAATCCTTTTTCTCTTCTTCAAAATCCCTCCATTCATCCTCCTGAAAAAAGGGTTGCAGTGAAGAACGTTTTTACTGGTTTCTTCAGTACATGTGTCACAAAGCTAAAATTGCTCTTCTTCTATCAGAGAAAAAGGAATAAGCTGGACTCAAAGACACCATCTGTGCAATTTTCCGGAAAAATTTGTATACTGATGCAAATAGTCCCAATTAACAAAAATAATATTGTATTGTTGCAGTATTAAGAGTCCTTGGAGCCTAGACGTTCTAACTCATAAAACTTAAAAAAAGAAGAAAATGTCTGATCCCACAGTGCCCTAGATATTTAAATTACAATCACCTTGGTATTTGAAAAAAATTCAGATGGTAAATAACTCAAAATTAATAATAGATGCCTGATAATAATAAGTGGCTAAGGTTTGAAATCATAAAAATTAACATTGCTCTCAATTAACAGGTGGGCAAATCCAAGATGGCCTTTAGCTTCCAAGGACTCCCTTGGAAAACAATTGAATAGGTACTACAAAGAAAATTTCTAATCTCATACTATACTGCCCTAGATATTTAAATTATAATCACTTTGGTGTTTGAAAAAGTATTTTTTATGATACAAATAAATGAATAAATGAAGTTTATTTCCCACTAAAAACCACAATATAACAATAAATAAGATGCAGAGAAATATGACTGGCTACTTGATCTAGTAGTGTAACCAGTTTGTTTATACTAACTTATCAGTTAAGATGACATTGTAATTTATCTGTTATAAAACATTGGATTTCGCCTGAACTGAGCATGTGATGGCAATTCCCTGACATCTGGTATTTATAAACAATGAAAGTTACCGGTATTACAACAAAATATTATTGATATAATTTATGAGATGCTGAGAAGAAAGCAAAATTATCGTTGCTTTACTAAACTGCCTTAAATTCAAACTATTCTTTATTTGAAGTGGTAGATAATTATAGTATTTTGGTCCTAGATATTGGAAAGAGTGGCGAAAAATTGGTATTGGTAATGCTTCTTGTTATGTATGTAAATAACTCTTCAGCAACTGTTTGAAACTATCCAAGATAGCCGTTAGCCTTTTAAGGACTTTTAAGGTGACTTTAATGAGTAGTCTGCTTAGGAGTCCCCTGTCTGTGTCTAGGCCTATATTAAATTAGCAAATTCCATCAATGGTTCCTTAAGTGGCTCATTTTGATGCTTAAGTCCAACGACATACAAAGAGAAACAGACTTACAGTATGTGTGATAAACCATACTTTTCATCAAAACAATTTTATAAACAAATTTGCAAACTACATGTTTAAATTATTTGGCTTACAAGTTGCTTCACACAAAATATCTTCCCAGGTTTTTCTCCTACTAACGTTAAGTAGGGCCTAAACTGACTATAATCATCAGCAATAAATTGTACCACAGATTTATTTTTAATGCTATAGCCAAACAAAGGAATATTACATATTATGACCGTCGTTGGTATATTGATGCAAAATGTATTACTCCACCAATGCAATAAGAAATCCTAGCCTAATTCATTACTATTTATTTGTATCATAACCAATTAATTAACAAAATTTTGTGATGAGTACGTTTAAGTATTTTAAATAATTTGAGTTGTCTTATTCAACACCTAAAAGCATGGGTCTACCCATTTTACTGAAATATTTTGACATTTCAATAAACTTGCCTGAATATTGACAAGGTAATGTTAAACGCTATTCAATACGAATAATAGTTAATTATGATCATAAATCAACGAGAACTATTTTCTTCAGTAAATCAGTGCAGTTTAAGAGTATGAAAAAGTACAGCTGATGCACTAGACCCTAGACCCTAACTCCTTTTTTTAACCCTAGGGATAGAAAGGACTACTTGAGCCCATGTTTTGAACAGCTGCACTTTTGCTTTGTAAAAAACTTTTTTTCTATCCTCTAAGGTTACAAGCAAGACTATTTCTTTCAGTTGACTGAGAAAATGGTGATTACTTTCGATAAACTGAGTTTAAATTACCATAAGCTTGGCCTACATAATCTACAATACTTTCCACTTTCATTGAATTAATAACTTATAGCTTGATTAGCACTATTAATCTCATTCTAAATAAAGGTAGTAGCAGCAAGAAGCAATAGTGATTTCATAACCAGGCAAAATATATCTAAATACATAAACAGCAGCAATGGAATATTGAGATATGACAGCTTCAACAGCAAAAAATTACACTTATATGGATATGCAACGTACCAATCTGGTAGTTACTTCTCCATATTAAAAATTAGCCTTGCTAAACTGAATTACTGTTTGTTTATTAACATCACAAGACGTCAATACATTTGGTGGGTAGTCGAGAACCATTTAAATATCAATATGTTCAATGAGATAAAAGTAATAAAAATTATATAAATAGGCCCTATGATATTGTAAAACATCAATAAATTTCAGTCGAAGCATGTTTAATTGTAGCTTGCTCCAAAAATGCAACACCTCTGAAACCTAGCCCAATATTTTCAACAATTTAACCGTAAATTTTAATGCTTATCATATAAATGTCAATTACAGTACTGTACATACGACAAAATTCACACAAATACGACATGGTAACCAATATTGATAAACGATTAAAGGATTTGTTTAAAGGGAAGATACCTAGCGCTACCACCACACCCAGTACCGGTACCTGAACCTTAAGAACTAGCGGTAAATCAGGGGGTCCCCAAATTATCTGTGCTGGGTCCTCTTTTATCCTGGTCCTAACAATGAAAGCAATGAACACCAGTTCTATATTATTTGCGGATGATACCATTCTTTTCACCACCTGGCATGTATCTCACACAGTCTAAAGATTTAACCACAATCGGTCCAGGTCTAAGAAAAGAAGCCCAAACGTGGTTTCAGAACATTCCAACTGAATAGAGCCAAAACCAGAGAACCTTTGGCATCCTCTCAAGAGAGTTCATTGAGAACATAGTAACTGTATAGGCCTAACTCTTCGGTTATCAGCTGGTCAGCCGAAAAGACTGGAATGACCACGCCCATGTCACCACATGGCTTGCTCTCTCACGTAGTGCCTCAGAAAAAGTGTAGCTGATACCTTGAATAAATCATGCGGCAGAAGTGGCTGAAATACTGAAACTTCATAAAGCAGTGGATCAACAACACTAAGCGGAACGCTCAAATTCTTCCCAACCTCACCACCAAGTTCTCCAACAAACTTCCTCTTAGGTATCGGTATCTTGACGATCAGAAGTTTAAAATGGCTGTAAAAGTCTTTAGTATCACCCTAAGTAAGACCCAACTACAACATTGCTGAATACCTTGATGCAAACTGCTGATTCAATTGATAAATTTGTGGCTTTAGGTTATGGCCAGTAGGTTTTATACATAGGCCTCCTAAGAAAATTGAATTTAGGCTACATAATATTTATGAGGTACCGGCCTAGTTGCCACATTTCATTTTTTTTTATCCAATGGAAAAACTGTTTTATTAAAAATCATTTAACAGTAGTTTTGTTTGGAGGCGATAATTTATGAAATGATAGCCTATTGTGACACAAAATGCATTTACTAAGCCTAAGTTACTTGATTAGGCTACCAAGAATTCGCTTTACTTGTAGGTATAATAGGCTATTTGTAAGCACGTCATTTAACAACACGGTTTAGAGCACAATTTAATGATGATGGTTAAAGAAGTATTAAAGAAAGTATTTAAGTATATAAAAATCACTGGTGAGTTACTCGACAGAATAAGTTGCAAATCACTTGGATCATTCACACCGAATAAGTCCCTGCCACCTGACAGAATTGACTTTGATTATCTGATTCCCTCATATTATCAATAAATAAAAGTAGAATATCGATTCAGTCGATAACCAAACTTAAGATAATCAAAAACTAAACTTCTTGTATCAATTGTAACATTCGCTAATACCACAGAGTAAGATGTTAAGGGTTTGCCACAGAATAGCCTAATTTGATAAGGACCGCTAACTGTCACTGTAGACTATGTTAATCATGAATATTAAAAAACATTGTCTCCTGGCATCAAATAACTCAACTTTTAATATTTGACTAAGTTTATAAGCCTACCCATGCAACTTGCTAATTTTTTTTTAAATAAGGCCATCTGATAAAATGTATTTAACTTGGCTGTATCATAAGATTAACCAAGGATACGGCATGTTTGAAGGCAAAACTGGTAACTGTCCTAACATAGGATAGGTCCTTCAGCAGTCATCAACTCCTTATCTAGGCCAGGTTACAACTATGGTCAAACGCCATTCGATTCTATATGATCAGTAATCCAATAATACAAGATGGTAAGCCTAAAAAGTCTAACACCAATAGTAGAGTAGAGAATGTAGAACAGAGGGGAAATAGGCTACCGACTTTCATTATGGTCCTTAACCATAAAACCATCAAACTAGGCTATTGGCCTTATTTTTTTACAACCTAATAGCTTAAGTTTTAATTCTGGTAAAGTATGTTAGACTACCTGAATTATTGTGCCGTTTTCTTCTCCATCTGGACCAGTAGTGTTTTGTAAAGTCTTTTCCTTTTTAGACTTTTCTGTCTTTTTGCCAGTTTCCTCCAGCTTTTTAGCAATTTCATCTGCGGTGGTAAATTTCTTTCCTTTCGACTTTTTCTTATCTTTTTTTGCGAAGAAATCATCCAGATCAGCCATTTTAGAAATAAATTCTTGTAGAATAACTATTATTTTACAAACAAAATTTAATTACTAATAATTTACACCTAACGTCCACATGTACCTTCAAAAGCTACCATAGCCTAAAAGAGACGTCATGGTAGAGCCAGAATCCAGCCAGAATACTTGAAGTCAGTTGGGTGATCGATCAAAGGCATTTAAAATAAGAGACAGGATACTGTCATCATGATTTAACGTACGAAAGCTCAAATACTATAACTACGAAACACCATTTACAATTTACCAGAATTTTCTGACTGATCCGCCTATCCACATACCAATGTTATAAATATATGTTTTGTATTTATGTCAGTTTGTTTAAATGTATGATATGTTTAAATGTCTGGCGCCATCAATCCCTTTTGGGTAAAATATGAAGATACGGTAATAAGGTAATCAAACTAATTTGTTTCGGAAGTTTGTTGAAACACAAAAATAACAACTTCTCTTTTAAAATAAAGTAAAGAATTGCTAAATTACTCTTGTTCCGTCACAAATAAGTAAACAAACACGCAGAACGGGGCACGACACGGCGCGGCGCGCATGACACGCGTTAAAAAAAAACTAACCCTTCCAGGGCTATGAAGGGCTGGAGCTTAATTATTTTTGCCAAAAATTAAAAACTTAAGTGGTTGTGTTTTGTATTTATTTCACTTGAAATAATTCATGGATCATAGAAAGATTTTCCTTAGGGCTGAACTATTTTTTTTATAAAAGTTATGAAGAAAACAAAATTTAATTTGACGGATATATCCGTCTTTGGCCCACAAAAACAGAAGGTGGACGGATATATGAGTGAAAATTTAAAAACGTACGTTTTCAGGAAAAGCACTTTGCAAATTTTTTTCCCCTTTTTTCAAAACTTTTATTATTATTTTTATTTCATTAACATTTTAAGTTTCATAAAATGTCCATGGTAACGCAATATCTTTGGTAGTTTTCTTTTTAAAGAGCATCTTTAGTAGAAAAACACAAAATCCTGTCACGACCATATCGGACGTTTAAATGAATATTAAAAATAGTTAATATTATTTTTATAACTATGTTTTGCTATAAACTAATTTACTTTTATGACCATTATACAATAAAAAGGTCACTGAGCTTTTGGTATATTTGGTCTTTCTAGAAAAAAATTAAAAAAACTCAAAAAAATAGAAAAAAGTCAATAAAATCCTTTTAAGTTTGTATAACTCCGAAAAAACTTACCTGAGACCCGAAAAATCGTTATGTTTGTATAGAGGTGTGCTTCTTTTGTGTATAAAACATTGAAATATGACGATATTTTAATTTTGGAAATTTTTATGATAGAAATCATAAACGTGATGGTCAGGGACGTACCACTTGTAAATAGTCTAGTATTGACACAGTAAATAAAATTAAAATGCGATTATTCTACAGAAAACAATCGCATAATTGGGTGCTAATACATTGACAACAAATACATAACCTCTAAATCGCAATTAGTAAATTAAAGCAATAACAAAACAATATGGCGTCGTCTCAAAAAGAGTAATTTTTTGCCGAAAGAGAGGAAGAAGAAAGTGCAGTCAACCTCCACTCAACAGCTCGATAGGTGTTGAGTAGTTTTGGTTGTATAAGTCCACCGTCAACCGTTTCAAAAATACGAAACGATTGGAAATAGAATGACTCGACACTCAACTCAACAGTCAACCATTTCAAAAATAGGGCCCCATGTGTGAAGTGACAGCTGACAGCAATATTTACTTACGCACACTCTATATGGTGCAAAATAGCCGAAACAGCTGCGGCAATTATTATTGCCAACCACAAAAACAAAATAATCCATTTATAATGCAGTGTAATGTTTACTACCCTATTATAAACATTGTATATCAATTCGTTTTTTGGACGGATATATCCGTCTTTATCCCAGAAAAGAAATTTCTTGGGACGGATATATCCGTTTTCAGCCCGGAAAGTAAACAAGGATTGAAGGATATATCCGTCCATATCCCTGGAAGGGTTAATACGTACTTACTTCGTACTTAGAACAGTACTTACTTGATACTTACTTACTTGATACTTGTGTGCTGCGTCGTTGACCGACAATGTCGGATAGACTGCGTTATTATATACATTTAAAAATAAACACTACTATTTACATACATATAAACAATACAACTTAAACAGGCTGTGGCGGTAAATAAAACGTGTTCCCCTTTTTTAATGAAGGCTTTTATATAACTTTTAGGGGTTCTTTACTCAGCTCCTCCGAAGTAATCCGATTCCGAAGAAACACACAGAAAGCGGTACGGCACGGCACAGGGCGGCGCGTCTTGAACTAGTCGATATTTTTTTGAGTGGCAAAAAGCGTTTTTTGTGTCACAGACCATAGCCTAAAAGAGACGTCATGGTAGAGCCAGAATCCAGAATACTTGAAGTCAGTTGGGTGATCGATCAAAGGCATTTAAAATAAGAGACAGGATACTGTCATCATGATTTAACGTACGAAAGCTCAAATACTATAACTACGAAACAAAGTACCACAAAAAAAAAATTATAGCCACCTCAATACATTAAAATAAATACATTCAATGGTGCATTTCCTCCTACTGTACTTGTAGGATAGTAGGTAGTGTAGTGATGGACAGTAATCTAGAGTATTTTGTAAGCCTGTACTGTGGCAGGTGAAGGGGTCCAGTTATTGCAAGATTTCAGCAGATCATGGCAGTGTCTGTGACAGTATAGGCTGTGTCACACTAGGCTACTTACTAGCTGCTATTTAGTAGCGGCTAGTGAAGTAGCCGCTAGTAAAAGCTGTCACACAACAAATGTCGGTAGCGGCTACCTAGTAGCAGCGATTCAGCCAGTCAGTGTCAATCCTGTGAAAATGTCGTCTGTTGGTATAAGCCGGGTTGAATTACGGCGTTTAATTTTGATGTGCGTTAGTGATGTTTGTATTGATTTAATTGAAAATATCCGCAACAAGAAGAAACGCTCCTGGGTAAGAGAGTGGATTAAGAGAAGAGACAGGCTGGGTGCATCAGGAACACTTATTAGAGAACTAGCTGTTGAGGACCCGAAATCGTACTACAATATTATGAGAATGTCCGTAAAAAAGTTTGATGAGCTGCTAACCTTGGTAACTCCTTTAATTCAAAAACAAGATACAAAAATGAGGGTGGCAATAATATGTCGAACGAAATTGGAAATAACTTTAAATTTTTATTGAAACCAACTTTTCCACAACAAACCAAACCCAAACATGCACAGCCACTAGCCGCTACTACGCTAGTACACATGTCACACCGGCTACTCGGTAGCCGCTAGTCAATCACGTGACTCACTAGCCGCTAGTTAGTAGCTTGGAAAATTGGACATGTTCAATTCTCGACGCTAGTGAAATGAGACTAGCGCGCTACTCCTACCAGCCGCTACTGCCTATGTCAGATTGGCTATGAGTAGCCGCTATTTCGCTAGCGGCTAGTAAAGTAGCCTAGTGTGACACAGCCTTATCGTAGTTGTCGTCGACCTCTGCAACTGTCAAAGTTTTCTTTTGGAAGAGCTCTATTTGTAAGCTAGATAACCTCTCAGTCTCCTTTTTTAGGGTAACAAGAAGCTCCATCCATACTAAATATTTGGTAACTTTTAGCATTAAAAGATGTGATTTTGCATAGCCCATGACGCTTGTAATATTATATTTTATAAGTTAAAAAAGACTAATTTTATTCTGAGCATATAAAATGTACTAAAATGAAGTAGATGTCATAATATATTATGTTAAATATTTTACATAATTTAAAGCGTCAATCCCACTCGGAACACAGGTTACGACTCATTAAAAAAACATTTGAAACTAAACTTTGTATTTTAAAACTAACTTTAAACATGCACTCTGTTAACCGCTGGACCATGGATGGGATGTTTTGCTTCAGTAATCAAAAGACAATGATATACTTAAATAAAAATATTTTTCATATAGTTAATAACTGACAAAGATGAGGGATTCCTTTTCCTTGCACTGATTATAGCACACAAAATAGCTAATTGCAGCATTTACTTACTTTTGCCGCACTCATTCTTTTGCCACACTCCAGTGTATTTCAACTAAACAAAACAAAACAACGTTCCGATAGTCCGAAACCAATAACCACTAACCAGAACCACTAAAATGGTCAAGGAATGGAACTGGAAACGGAAAGTGTGAACGTTGTGAAGTCTTTCCTCTGAAATCGTAGGAGTATGGTCAAGAAGCCTTTCCTTCCTCGATCCCGCAGGTGAAGAATTTTCAGGAGAGCTGAAAGATGACAACCCTAAAACCTTGAAAGCTCGACTCACCCGTTGGTTCTGCAAGATGCCATTCTACAGCATAAAAGAATTTATGGACTGGCCATTTGGACTTACTAATATAATAATTTGGCCATATGGACTGGAAATTTGATTGTATTTAACAATAATTCATCTCATTGTTGTATTAATATAGTATTGACGCCTTTCAAATCTCTAAGATTTCGAATAAAGATTTTCTGTCTGTCTGTCTAACTGTCTGAAGCAAACCTGTAGATAAGCGAATTTCCATTTAATTGTCTGATTGGATTTTTGCTTAAATATTTCCAATGAGACAAGACATATTATTCCCCATTTAAATAACACTAGATTTAACGAGTAGGTAGCCTACCTAGGTTTGCTGCTTCAGGGAAGGTAATAAGTGTTTTTTTTTAACCAAATTTTGAAATTTTACCTAATTTGAAGACTTCAAAAAGAAAAATTAAATTGGTCCCGGCCTTACCGTCCACGCACAATAAAAGCTACATACATCCCTGTAGGAAAATTTGCTAAAACGATGAAAATGTTAATGTAGGTACTCAGTGTTTTCTAAGTTAAAAGAAACCTGTCCTTTTTTAGTTTGAAAAAGATATACAACTAAATAAATTGGTTGCAAAATTTAAAAAAATACACTACACTTTTCGGTATCTAGATCCAAACTCGACTATGACTACCTACACTGTGTATGAAAAAGTGAGATTGTAGGCTTGCGGCGGGAAGCCCCTCTTGTACAAACTTACAACCAAACTACATCAGCTAAAAAATTTGAAATATATATAAGTAAAGAAAATGCATTAATCCCACTTTCAGATTTGAGG